TAATCTCAAATTTACACACGGGGATAAGTTAATCGTTCACTGTGGAAAACTAGGCGGATTTAATTCACTTTTAAATCTCAATCAACAGGGAAAAGTTCATGCCAAAGCCTGGAAATTGTTAATTTATTAAAATCTAAGACCTTCAAGCACAATCTTATTACTCCAATTCTGTATTTTATTTTCTTAAGGTGGTCATTCACGATCACTCCAAATGGAACCGCGCCAAGCCGTACAGCTCCATTTGGAGTGCCTGAAATTTGAAGGGGCTTNAATAAAGAATAAACGTTTTTGACTTTTTGAGAATGTACGACGGAGATGTTTGCTCAGTCACAGAAAGACGGAGATTGCGCCAAAAAAACGAGGGTTTTCCCATTCACGACCAGGCCACCGCGCCAAAATCCCCACCCTCCACGCCAGATTTTCCCATTCACGAACGCGCCATGCCGTCGTCGCGCCGTAGATATTTGGAGTGGCTCGATGGAGTTTGGACCGGTCGAATATTCGGCACAGCTGGGCACGCCAGTTCAGTTTTGCCATTGACGTGGTTTTGGGAACGGCGTCGCTCCGTTTGGCCTGCTGGGAGCGATCGTGAATTGCCACCTTTAAGCACTTCATAGACCAACTTGTATTTAACTTTTTTTTTCTTTTTTTTTGTATAGGTTCAATCCGCCGAGTTGAGCCCATTGGCTTCTCGTAGTCCCATGACAATTCCAGCTTTTGCTATTTACAGTAAATTGCCATAGACAGGTGGCACGACGTTAAGGATATAAGCGGGGGAGAGGCAACACTGCACTAATCTTAAAAATATTTAATACCCCATACTAAAACATTAGAAACTACTCAGTTATTCTAAAAGTATGTACGTCTGCTTGAAACAGTTTTATTCAAAAAGACCAAATCAGAGAAATTTATTGACAATTTTCTTAAGGTTAGAAACCAAAAAAAATCATCACATCCTAATTCTACAGTCACTTGGCATGTCATCAGAGATATAACCAGGGGGAGGGCATACTGCACATTCATAAAAGTTATACTGGCAAAACGTATAATAAAAATTTATTTTCTACCAGGTTTTATCAGTTTTGAGAAATAAAATACATTATAATCATTGTTGTACTTTTATTGGAAAATTAAAAAGCCGAAACCTGGAAATTATTAATTTTTTTAAATCTAACACCTTCAAGCACAATCTTATTACTGCAATTAAGCAATTTACTGTTAACGTTTTAAAATAATTCATCTTAAACATGCTACATTACCTTTTCTTACAAAGTTCATAGACCAACTTCAATTTTATTGATATCTTTGTGGATTTGGATAGGTTCAAATCCGCACATGTACGTACATGTACCGAGTTGAGCCCATTGGCTTCACGTAGTCCCCTGGCAATTCCAGTTTTTGCTATTTACAGTAAATTGCCAGTAGTCACGAGAATCACCCACCTCGGGTGTTAGCAGTCCGGAGGCGTCAGCAGCCAGGTCAATTTAGCACCCAACGCATGTAGTTCCAAACCCCCCACTCACCTTCATTCTTAAATACATTCACATCTATTTACATACCATTTCATTCCATTATGGTGGTGGAGTACTCGGTATTCCTTCGTGACCCTTTATACATATTATACATCTAACCTAATTAAGGGTCGATACTCGATATTCCTTCTTACCTCATACATTCACGCTAATAAATACATTCACTCTCAAACAATCTTTTTTTATGTTATACAACTGTCCTAATGGGGTACTCGATATTTCACCATCGACCCTCTCACATCACACATTCACGCTAATAAATACATTCACTTTCAACACAAACTAGATATACAGAACTATTATTACTACATACACTAATACAACCTCCAAGAATCGGAACCCAAGCCCAGTTCTTAAATCGATGGGCATTCCTGCGCGCTCTCTGTATGGGGCCAAGCCAATTGCATCCTTCCAATAGGTGGGACCATCGAGCAACCTTCCTCTGTATGCCGGATCAATTTTATTGAGTTTCATAAGATAGAACATGTTAGGACTAGAATGAGAGTAGAATGCTTGCTGGACACTGCTGACTCCGAAAGCATATATAAACTCGGCTCAGCAGAAATAGGCCTGTGCAGATATTGCCAGGAAAAACCAGCGAAACATGGCGAAAACACACACACTGGAAAAAAGCGTTAACCTTAATTTTAGACAATAATGGAAATTGGGAAGAGTCCTTTAAAAAATTTTAGTTCATGTCGCTTGATCATCTTTGATTATGATGATCTGCCTGTTTTTGAATGACAGACAAAACTTGTGGCGATTGCTCAAATAAAACCAAAACAATCGAGACTAGGTGGGCCAGGATGAACAGACCCAGGCAAACGACAGGTTCATCGCTTTGCTACTAAGAGCTTAATCATCTTTGATCATCCAGGTCTCCCTGAATGAAACATTTTTTTCATTTGGTATGACAGAGAAAACTTGCTGTAATTTCTCAGGCAAAACCAAAACCAGGGAAAATAGGTGAGCTAGGAAGGACGGACCCAGTCACTTTGCTCCGTATGTTGATCGTCTTTGACCATCCTGATATGACTGTTCTAGCTGATTTTGTCTGCCTTTTGTCATCTTCTAAATGATTATGACGGAACTAACGTTGGGAAATTGTTCAGACAAAACTAAACCAGAAAGGCCAGGTGGCTTAAATTTGCATTTTGTTAAATAAAGTAATGAACAATAGTTAATAAATCAACCGCAAGATTTTGCAAATTAAATCGGCAATAATTCTTAGAGCAACTTCGATTATAGTAATTAAAAAAGTGAAAATGACTTAAATTCAATGAGTTAATACGTTTAAAATTAAATTGTTATTTTTTAATTGTTTTGGCGTCTTGACAAGAAGAATCGATTATATTAAAAAATACAATTATTCTTTCGTTTTATCAATGGAAAGATTAAACAACTGTCAAAAAAATTGATCCTTATTTTCTTTGAAATATTTGGAAGAATTTATAACTTTGATAGCCTAGAGTTCAGAAGAAACATATTAACCTCAGGGTTTTTATCAATTAAATCATCAATAATCGAAACCAATTTTGATACCCGACTTGTCAAAAATGAGTGTAAAGCAATAAAGATAAATTGAATGGAGTTAATCGAATTGAATTAAAGTTGAATTAAATTAAACTTTGATTTCTACGTTATGACATGAAAAATCTAATATATTAAAAAAACGCCATAATCCTTTCGTTTCAACAGAAAATTTAAACAACAAGAGTCAAAAACAATCGGAAAATTAATCATGTTCTCCCTGGAAAATATGGTAGGATTTAATTTTATTACTCGAAAATAAAGATTGGACTGTTATAACTAAATCAATTAAGACATAAGATAATTAAAAATTAGAGAAAATTGTTAACATATCAATAGCAAGGGCTTACTAAAAATGAATCGAATTGATAAATAAATTAATTACATTAAACCAAACTAGTTATTAACCATTTACCGTCTATTCTTGTCAGTTTAAACTATACAATAATTAAACTTATTTAAATTATGTTATTATTATCACTAAACTTAAGTTGTTGAAGAAATAGCAGAACAAATAATTAACTTTTTTGAATGCGTCCTTTGATATTATTCGTCAAAATCCTTTCTTGCTGAAATTATTTAACATATCTCTTCAAAATGTATCAATATTTGAAAGGTCTCTGCTGTTAGGAGGATAGAATGAATTTCAGAATGCTTTCAGGTGAGCTCGGAAGTCGAACAAGGTTGTTTTCTTTGTCCCATTCTTTGTTTCCTTTTTCACAGAAGCTCCATTGTTTATATTGGTTTTTTAGTGCCTCCTTTGTTAGTATTTGTCGAAATCCTTTATTGCTGAAATTATTTAACCAATCTCTACAAAATTTATCAAAATTTGAAAGGTTTCCTGTTAGAAGGATAGAATGTATTTCAGAATGTTTCCAGTTGAGCTCGGAAGTCAATCAAGGTTGTCTTCTGTGTCCTATTCTTTTTTCCTTTTTCATGGAAACTGTATTGCTTCCTTTGATATTATTTGTCGAAATCCTTTATTGCTGAAATTATTTAACCTATCTCTACAAAATGTATCAATATTTGAAAGGTTTCCTGTTAGAAAGATAGAGTGTATTTCAGAATGTTTCCAGTTGAGCTCGGAAGTCAAACAAGGTTGTCTTATGTGTCCTCTTCTTTTTTCCTTTTTCATAGAAGCTCTATTGTTTATACCTCTTTTTTGGAACAATGTAAGTTACCGTCAACATCAATAAATCAAAGATTATATTTTTTATTAGGGTACTACAGCAATTATTGTTTATTGAATTTTTAATTAATTGAGTCTGAATATTTTTCTTAAAAAGTGAGATCTAATTAGATTAGACCTTAAACCAAAGTGTATTTTGTGCCATCGGTTGCAAACAAAAATTAAACAAAAAATACTTTTATTTGAATTATCCTAAAGAACAATATCTACTGATTATATTTACCTGTACATTTGTCTTTGTTTATATCTACTTTGACCTCTTTAAACGCCTAAATATCCAATTATGATACAGTGAAAGAACGTTTGAGACAAAAGTTGATATGGGCTCGACCTAGTTGGGCTTTGGCCAAAATGAGCCACAATTTAACAGCACCTTGCAACGGGGTGGAAGCTCCTCGTTGCCCCCTTCTTCGCTGCTGCTTTCCTTTTATTACTGCACCACTTGAAAACTCATTATGTCTCTTTTAGGGGGGAAAATATCCTGCAGGATGGAAAAATTTTTCCTTCGGCAGTTTTTATTCCCGCCAGCCTTTACATTAAAAAAAACTTGATAAGGTGGTAAAAGCATAAATTTTATTTTTATCTTATCCTGCAGGTCGATTGATTTTTTATAGTTTAAATCTTTAATCCAACCGACACATCCTGAAAATCATATTTCATGATGGGGTTTCTTTCGTGAATCAGTTTTGTCTTATTTGTTTAGCTGATTTACCAAATATATTATTATATTTTTATTTCTATTTTTTCAGGAAAAATTGGAACATGTACACGACCTAACCATGTCCGTACTATTAGATGGCCAAGAGCAAATTCTAGACTTACAATTGAACAGGTAAGAACAATTTTTTAAGTGTTCACAACTAAATAAATAAAATTTTCATTTCCTCATATCTCGAGCAGAAACTGTACGCGACTGGAGTGTTTCCAAATGTTTCTCAGTCCCTCGACAAAGCATGTGGGATTATTGTACAAATTAAAATTATTTTTACCCCAGGCCTATTATCTGATTATACAATCATACCTTAAGGAGAGATTTTTTCGCAGCAAACCAGGGTACGGAGACCTCTGGGATAGAAGAAGTGCTTGCAGGTGTGCCTCAAGGGTCAATACACGCTCCGCTGTTGTGCACAATTTTTACTCCTGATATGACAACAAATGAGAAGGCATTTTACCGCCTCATACGCAGATGACACCGCCGTATTAGCAAGTCCATCCCCTTCTACACAAGCATCACTTATGTTACAAAACCACATATCAACAATTGCAAAATGGAGCAATGTTTGGAAAATAAAGTTTAACCCTTCAAAGTCACAACATATCACATAGCATATATACAACAAACTTGTTAACTAATTAGGACTTATTCCACACACACGATTAAATAAACAAACACTTAACAAATCTAAAATGTTTTATTACCTACTCAACCGACAATCAAAATTACCAGTAAAATCAAAATTATCTTTCGACATAGACATATCTACTCAAACCTGGGTGCCAAGTTTATGGATCGGCCAAATATTCAATAATTACAAAGATTTCAAGCCAAAATTTTAAGACTACTTGTTTCTGCCTCTTTTTGCTTAAACAATAACACACTTCACAGAGATCTTCACATACCAACAGTTTTATCATCCAACAAAATTGTACAGACTTTCATAGTAAATTACAAAATCACACCAACACAGAAATACGAATAGTCGATTACCCACAATTATCACATAAACGTCTGAAAAGAATGTAGATAAGATACCTCATAAATTATTAATACCATTTTATTAATCAATATGGGCTCCCAAAGGGGGTAGCTTTCTCTATAACGCCAGTAATACCACAAACATAAATTATCCAATCTGTTGATTGGGCAGAATACATGTACAGTTGTAGATGTAAATAAATGAAGTGAAAAAAAAACATTATGTCTCTTTTAGGGGGGAAAATATCCTGCAGGATGGAAAAATTTTTCCTTCGGGAGTTTTTATTCGCGCCAGCCTTTACATAAAAAAAAACTTGATAAGGCGGTAAAATGCCCTTGTATATATTACAACATATTTATGATTTATAATCGTACTTGAACAAGTCTCGAAGAATCGCTAGTACATTTTATGTATGCAATAAAAAATGTACATTGAATGATGAGTCTTTTGCCATTTGGAATGGTTAAGTTCCTATATCCCATTATCCTGGAGAGAAGAAAGATCTAAAATTTTCAGTTTAATACTAATCAAAAAATAAAAATTTACTTGTCGGGATATTTCCCAAAAAATGCCCAAATAAAAAAATAAAATAAAAGCTGGGAACAAAATTTAAACTCACCATGTTGTTAATCATAAAGGACGCTTCCAATAAGTCCAATCCCTAATTATCAAGTTAATTCCTAATCATAGTCCTTTTCAGGGTTGGAACATCACTTATTTCTTGGAAAATAATATATTTATTGTAAATAACCTTTTAATTGCAAATGGTATAACTTATTTTTGATTAAATTATAATTTATTATTTTTTTATCAGAATGCTTAACAGATTCAATACAGACAAGGTCCTTACAAGAAAAGTCAATGTACCTATTTCTAAAAAAAATCCAGCTCGTCACTCTATGCAACTGTACAAACAAAATAATTTTATTTTGACACTATTGTATAAAAACTACTCTCGACTCATTAAGTTCGTTGTAGTGATGACAATGAAATGCTCTAATTTCTTTTTATGTACATAATAAATCAGCTTAAATTTTATACTGTTTGCAATATTAAAAAATACATATGCTATAACTGACCAAAACACATCTGATAAAAATTCAAACTTAATCTATTTCAAAAAACGCTGAAAAAGCGTCACTATTTCATCATGTCACTTACAAATTGACGAAGTAACACAATAACATACTGATGATGGCGAATTCATTGAACATATAAACCTAGCGAGAATAAGACAACCAGAACAGTTAATCATCAAGCTAGGTACCTTTACCTCGCAAACCTCACTACAATCTCTCACAATTTAAACTTCAATTTTAAAAATATTTTTACTCTTATCTGTTTCAGATTATATTTATGAAGCCTATTCTGGCTCCAATGTAAATTATTTATTACAATAATATAAAATTTAATTATATTTGGTATCAGTTCAAACAATAATAAAGAACACAACTAAACGTATAAATTATTGTGACTTGGTCAATTTTCGATCATCTGAATATCTTGCATACATGTACATATATATATACACATATATATGCACATATATATTTTTTATTTGGACTTTTTCTTTTTAATGAACTAGCCGGAAATGGCATTAAAGAGGTGCGCTGCGTTTATATCTTAAATACCAGAGGATAAATGTGAAGTCTTTTTCTTGAGATATGTACAGAATAATGGGCTTCCCTTTCGTTATTTTCTTTTATATTTTCTCCGAATCCACTAGCAACCAGCCAATGTTTCGATTCCCTTCATCCTACCCCATTACTGCTTGAAAAGTTACCATACACCGTTCAAACCTTTTAAAATGTAAAAAGGTCGAAAGAAGGTTGAAAAGGCCTTGTGTTAACTCCAGAAAGTAAAACTCGCCCGTAATCAAACCGTAGGGTTAAAAGGAAAGTGTCGGTTTTGAATCCGCAGGGGGGGTCATTAAGGATTCAGGTCAGAGGCGGTATTAAAACTACTCAGCGCTCTGCGGGTTCTGCGGGACGGACATTTGAATTCTGCAGAAACACCGTCGGCCCTGAGCCTAGAAAAGAAAACCACTTCTGGGAAACGCCCCCGGGGCCTCTTGGGCGTGTGTAGGATAAGGCCGAGCTGGTGGAATTACAGCTGGAAAACCGCGACGCCCACCCTCGGAACCGTCCAGGATTACTGGGGGTGAGGAGCGCCCTGAATACCCAAGTGACGCTCTGAACGTTCCCAGATCTAACTAGGCGGAATTTGCATTAATGCAACTCAGAGGAAATAAAAATTATAAAAGACGCTGGGAATTATTTCCCTTAGAATTTCAAAATATGTTTCATGTTAGAATTTTTAATTACGCCCTTGATCTGAACACCGTTTCCATAGAATAAACAATTTCAATGGTACTGCACCAAGGTAAATGAAAAAGTGATTCCTTTTTTTCTTAAATTACCATAAGAATCTGGATGCACTGCAAGAGTTCATATGCACCGTATAACGTATGAAATATGTCTAGAAAATTTTCATCAAGACAGGCCAGATTGTTTTTTCTTTGTTATATCTCTGACTTTTAAAACTTGTGATTACGTTTACAATTATTCATTGAACTGAAGTTTTCATGATTTTTTTAATTTCTTTCATTTCATGATTCCAGTTTAAGTATAAATTTTTTTGTGTTAACATGGCTCCGATCCGGCAAAAATTGTCTTTAAAAGAAAGAAAAGTACACTAGTAAGAACATGATCTGATAACTTAAAACTAAACAAAACGCGAGGAAGGAAAATTTTTAAACACTCAAAGTCATCGAAATTATACATCAAAATCTACACCTACAGAATGGTATGTGTTGTGATCAAAATTTCTTATTTCAGGACACCTTTTCAAAAAGGACAAAAGTAGTAACACAAGTGAGAACATATCTTTTGCTTGCAAAAGAACAAAATCGGTCATAACTCAGAAATGGTCGATCCTATCAAAATTTTCCATTCAGTAAAAGTGACATAAAATAAGTTCTAGAATCGAATTGTACAATAAAAATATGGGATTCCCATTTAAAATAACGAAGTTAGTGTCATTTCCCAGCTAGATGATAAAGTCATGTGAACTTTCATCTTTTTTTGTTCATGAAACCTGTTAACACCACGCGATTCTTACGCAAAATTAACTTGGGGGTGTGTATAAGAACAGTTTTTGCTAAAGTTAATCGTTGCTGAATTAAATGGATGGACTATAGTCAAGAATTATTATTTGGAGATCGTGAGATGCGGTCTGGTGTGGTGTAGATTTAGAAAAACATTTTCTTCATCGTGCAAACGTTTCGATCTTTATTGAGATTATCTTCAAGGCTCAAAGTGTTTGGTTTCCGTGTAGATGTGTCATTCTTGTGAGTCGTGTTGAGAGTCCTGCCACGATAGGGATCCTGAGTTCGAATCCTGGCATTGTTGTTGTTAGTTGCGAAGTCGTGTCCGACCCATCGCGACCCCATGTACAATGCTCCTCCAGGCCTTCCTGTCCTCCACCGTCTTCCGGAGTCCGTTTAAGCTCACACCGACTGCTTCAGTGACTCCGTCCATCCACCTCATTCTCTGTCGCCCCCTTCTTCTTTTGCCCTCAATCTTACCCAGCATTAGGCTCTTCTCCAGTGAGTCATTACTTCTCATTTGGTGGCCAAAGTATTTAAGTTTCATTTTCAGGATTTGGCCTTCTAGAGAGCAGTCAGGGTTGATCTCCTCCAGGATTGACCGGTTTGATCGCCTTGCAGTCCAAGGGACTCGCAGAAGTCTTCTCCAGCACCAGAGTTCAAAGGCTTCAATTCTTTGGCGTTCAGCCTTTCTAATAGTCCAGCTTTCACAGCCATACATTGCAACTGGGAAAACCATCGCCTTGACTATACGCAGGTGATGTCTCTGCTTTTGAGTATGCTGTCTAGATTTGTCATAGCTTTCCTCCCCAGGAGCAAGCGTCTTTTAATTTCTTGGCTGCAGTCCCCATCTGCGGTGATCTTGGAGCCCAAGAAAATAAAGTCTGTCACTACTTCCATTTCTTCCCCATCTATTTGCCAGGAATTGAGAGGGCCAGATGCCATGATCTTAGTTTTCTTAATGTTCAGCTTAACACGCCAACTTTTGCACTCTTCTCCTTCACCCGCATCAAGAGGCTCTTTAGTTCCTCTTCACTTTCCGCCACTAGAGTGGTATCATCTGCATATCTAAGGTTGTTGATATTTCTCCCTGCAATCTTAATTCCAGTTTCTGACTCGAATCCTGGCATAGTACATGGATTTTGAAAGTGAATAATAAGGAAAAAGTATTGTAAAATCGATCTTCGAATAATCATCGACTAACGGTCACTAAACATCACACATATAGTCAAGAATTTGATACACCCTGTATATCCTTCCTTATAAATACCTTATTTTTTGCTTGTTGCATCCAGTTGTAAAATAAAGATTTAAAAAATTTAGAACAGATTGTCAAAATACATAGGGATACACAAATATTCATGAAGAGACGTACATTACTGTTTAACCATGATTCTGGCGTTCAACCCTAAAAGCTTGGCTGAGCGATGTTCCATTTTAATTCGAATTTAGGGTTTAACTCATTGTTTAGCCAAAAAATTTCTTACTCTGAACGTAATTACTCTCATAATTAAAGTAACAGGGCAGCTGCTTAATTTTGCAGTTCAGAGAAAACAGGAAACATTCCTCTATTTACTGCGTAATTTAAGAGTTTATGATGATGGATTACGGTTTTACAGTTAATTTAGGAGAAAGTGTTTTTTTTTGTTTATCGCATAACAAACCTACAATCATTGCAGATTTTTCTGATATAAAATTGGCAATAGCTGAGTAGTTAATTTTTCACAATCACTAAGTTATCATACTCTTGTTTTCATTGAATTAGTTGAGCGTTATTAAAATATTTTCACCGTTAGATCTAAATATTTCAGTATTCGTTTGTATTTAACTTAAATTTGCATATATACGGCAAATACGTCGGGCGATATGACACGTCCCATCTTAATTGAGACCATTTTTGCGGCGTCGCCAAGGAAAATGTGGAACCCCCCTGAGCGTTACCGTTGGAAACGGGCAACATCTCTATTCAATAATGCAGGACGTTTTTCTTTATGGTTGCATTTAGTCGGTCGATTTGGGAAAGTGTATTTTATAGAATTGGCCGTTTCGTTTTCAGGAAGCCATTCATGGACAATGATCCATGATACCGAACGTTTCATGAACGAACATCACCCCAGTCGTTTAATACAAGTTAATTTGATACATGCGATCCCTTTCAAAAGATTCTTTAGCACATGAATGTATATCGCTGTATAGAAATCAAATCTCAAACACAAATTTCTTAAATTTCCTATTAAAAATTCCCCTATGATATCATGATGTTACGAACGATATACCTTGTATCGTTTTCGATTAAACCTTGAAAGGGTCGAAGAGGGTATTTTTGTCTCCTGAAGGAAAATCTTATCCTATAAACTTGGCAACCCACCTGTGACACACCCGCTTACAGGCATCTTCACCATATTCTTTGCTTGAGTAGCACGTTTCCCCTTCCGAAAATAAACCAAGCAGAAGAGTAAAAAAAGGCTCTTATTTGTTCTTGCAAAATAGTAAGATTTAATGGAAATAAACCTAATTAATTAGTAATACACATAGAAATCCTTGATTAGTCCTTAACGTTTGTTAAGAAAACATCCTGAGTTTGTTCAATTAATAAAATTATATGCCTTTGTTAATCTCGTTATATTTCATTTTACATAAATAATTTACTTTTACTTAATTTTAATTACTGAAGACAGCAACCCGACGCATCCTTTCCTACGGTAATACGTCCATTCCAGTTCGCAATGACGATTGATCATGACGACGAAGTAAAAGCTTAACTCATCGTCCAACGTATTTCCAAAATTTTCCGCCCTCATCCTGACATAATAGGTATACAGAAGCCGTAGAAAAAGAATTAGCCCAATCACATCCTCTTTCCCTTCCCCCAAAAGCTTTTCATCTTTTAGAAACCAGTTCATCATCGAAAACCTTCCCAAAAAGAAAACTCTTGGATATGACCTTATAACCTCTGAAATCCTTCGATCCGTAAAAAGCAATTTTCTTCCTAACATACCTTTATAATGCTGTCCACTACTCAGTTACCTTTACAATGGAAGTTTCCTATTGTAAAAAGATCCGAAAACCTCATAAACCATTTACCTCAATCCAATTGCCCGATAAGCCTCTTAACTACAGTAGGAAGAACCTAGAGAAGCTCCTTCTGAAAAGAATCCTTCCCATCCTAGAAGAACAAAACATTATCCTAACTCACTAGTTTGGCTTCCGTAAACACCACTTCACAAATGTGTTGTAGACGCTTTCTCTTCCTCTATTGAGATGAAACAGTACTAATCGTGAGCTTTCCTTGACGTGGGTCAGGCCTTAGATAGGGTCTGGCATTCGAATTTGCTGTCGAAGCTTAAGTGCTTCTCTTCTACTTCCTCATATATCGATCATATCTGACTGACCGCTTCTTTCAGGTCAGCCAGGGTACATCCGTCTATGACTACTACTTAAGGTGGAAGTCCCACAGGGTAGTTTCCTTGGTCCCATCCTGTACTCAGCTGACCTCCCTACCCAACCCGACACATCCATTCATTTGCGTATGATACTGCTATCCTATCCTCAAATAAAGATCCCGTCCGTACAGGCTCACCTACTCGACAAAAACCTTGACCGATATGATGAAAATAAATGTAAACAAAAGCCAACACGTAACTTTGACCCTCAGACGGGGAATAATGCCACCAGTATAACTACATCACATATCCTTTCCTATAGTTAACTACGCCCGCTACCTCGGGCTGTATATCGACAAAAACTGACACGGAACCCACATACAAGTGTAAAAAAGTAAAAAGTGACTAGATAAAAAACACTATCACTTCTTCTAGACAAACGATCAATACTGACAACAAACGTTCCAACCATCATCGCACCCACACTTACCAATCCTCAATGACCATAAAATTCCTTTTGTGAAAAATGTCATAAAATCCCGATATATAAAATTCTACAATGCACTTTCATTACACTCCAATCCCTTAGTTTTTAACATAACATCTGAACTATCCCTCAAAGAGATTGAAGCGGCAGTGGGCTCGAAACCTGTCGGGCAGCGAGACCTAACACGTAGACTCTCCAGAAGTGACACCATTGGGTCGCATCCTAGTGCCAAATTTTCTTGAATTTTTTAGTGCTAGATTTTGTATTTATTTGTCTTTCCACGGTTTGTTATATTATTAACAAATAAAAACACAAAAGGACTATATAATTACATTCTCCATCATCAAATGCTTCAAAGATTTTTAGAGATTTTATTTTGTTTTGTTTTTCGTTTTAATTTGTACATATCAACAATTTTACTTGAATTACAAAGAATTACTGTTTTAAAAAAATAAACAAATTATTTATTAATTTAATCTTTCTTTTTTCAGAAATCTCATACCAAAGGATCATTTCATTTCAACACAAAAGAACGGTTCGAAAATTGTTCACCGTCCGCTTCCGCACGTAAGTAAACAAAAACAAACTTTCCCAAGTTGTAAACAGGATGACAAAATTTTTCAATACGTGCAGGAATTTCTAGAAGATGTTGTTTCTTCAGAGAAGAATACTTTTTTTATCCAAAAACTCCATTCATTTTTCTACTTTTAACTCTCCCATTTGATAAAAATCGCTTTAAAAATGCCCGGCCTACCATTTTAAAATCGCTTTCATAAACTTCCCCCCTCTCGGATCGATCCCTGTTTAATTATTCCGAGTCACTCTCGATTAATCGGGACAATTAAACTATTCTCTTTAAACGACGTTTTGTGACGGCTGTTAATCGAAAAAGAACGGAAAAGTAATTATTTCTTTTCGTATTCATCCATCCCGCCGGAAGTCAGCGGGGGATCGGCGGATTATCAGTTTCCATCTGAACAATTCTATCTGCGCGAACACAAATCACGCTCTTACAACGAATGACACCGACTTCCGAAAATTACGACTTGGAAAAGTACGCGAAGGTATTTTCTCGATAAAGTCACCGAGGGGGGAGGGTGAGATTAACGAGGCAATTAGCACTTTTTATCACTAACTGCTTTGATTGACGTGTGCTTTGTAGACGACACTGAAATCATATTTCTCTCAATTTAGGTTTAATAACACTATATACTAATTACCTGCCAGACCAAACATTTATATTAAAGGAAATATTTCCAAGTTGGACAACTCCTATAAATTTTAGGTCAAGGATTTCTTTCTTTCCATTTTGACAAAACTGCTTTTATAACACAGTTCAATACTTAAAGGTTTCATACGTACAATTGTAGAAATTTTGAATTAAATAATTGTTCAAACCTTTTAGAAGGTTTCATTCGTACAATATTCAATATAGGTAAATAGAATTGTTCTATAATTGTAACAGGTTTCATTCATACAACTTTTTAATAATTGTAGCAGGTTTCATTCATACAATTGTTCAATAATTCTAAGAGGTTTCATTCATACAATTGTTCAATAATTCTAAGAGGTTTCATTCATACAATTATTCAATAATTGTAAGAGGTTTCATTCATACAATTGCTCAAAAATTGTAAGAGGTTTCATTCATACAATTGTTCAAAAATTGTAAGAGGTTTCATTCATACAATTGTTCAATAATTGTAAGAGGTTTCATTCATGCATTTGTTCAATAATTGTAAGCGGTTTCATTCATGCAATTGTTCAATAATTGTAAGAGGTTTCATTCATACAATTGTTCAATAATTGTAAGAGGTTTCATTCATGCATTTGTTCAATAATTGTAAGCGGTTTCATTCATGCAATTGTTCAATAATTGTAAGAGGTTTCGTTCATGAAATTGTTCAATAATTGTAACAGGTTTCATTCATACAACTTTTCAATAATTGTATCAGGTTTCATTCATACAATTGTTAAAAACACTTGTAGGTTTCATTCGTACAGTATTTAATATTAATAAAAAGACTCATTCGTAGAATTGTTCAAACTTATAGAAGGTTTCATTCGTACAAATATTCAATATTGGTAAAAGGTCCCATTCATAGAATTGTTCAATAATTGTAACAGGTTTCATTCATACAACTTTTCAATAATTGTAGCCGGTTTCATTCATACAATTGTTTAACACTTGTAGAATGTCTCATTCGTAGAATTGTTCAGTTCTTGTAGCAGGTTACATTCATACAATTATTCAATACTTACATGTTTCATACATACAATTGTAGAAGGTTTGAATTAAATAATTGTTCAATAATTGTGGCTGGACAACTTCTTCTACAAGAGACTCAAATTACAAATTCGACATATATGAACATATTTACTTAATACAATATTTGTAGGTGTAAATATCAAATAAATGTAATTAAAAAATATTTATAAAAAACAATTGTAACAAGTTTCATTGCTATTATTGTTCAATAATTGAGACTGGTTTCATTCATACAATTATTCGACACTTGTAGAATGTTTTATTCCTATAAATATTCAACATTTGTAGAAGGTCTCATTCGAAGAATTGAAGAAATATTTGGTTTGATTGATAAAATTTTACAATCATTGTCGCTGGTTTCATTCATGCAATTGTTCAATAATTGTAAGAGGTTTCATTCATACAATTGTTCAATAATTACATCAGGTTTCATTCATACATTTTTTTATAATTTTTATATTTTCATTGTAATATTTTTAAAATATTAAAAAATGTTTACATTTTCGAATAAATAATAATATAATAAGACAAAACAAGAAGAAAAAAACAAGAGTTTCATGAACGTAGACAAGAAGAATAAGATTTTTGTAAACGTTGTTTTTATTGTGTTTTGCTTCATACACCAAAAGTAGATTATAGCTATGATGTTTACCTTTTTTTAACACTGATAAAAATGATCGTTAGCAAAATTCTCGCCAAATATGATATATTCAAATTGTCAACAAGAAAATTTGTTAAACACTTAAACGAATCTACCGTTTTACATCTTTCAAAACATTGTTGTTGAACTGGAAGAGTGTAAAAGTAAGTAATTTTCACGTTTCCCAGCGTATGCCTGGAGAGTTGCACTTGCAAGCAAATCTTTTTTATGCACGAAGTTTGTTCCGTATATTTTACCGTTCAGATCCGTGTGTTAAAACCCCGCTTGTAAATATTGTTGGCCGAAATACTTTTAAATGTTTTTAACCTTGCGAATTGTACGGTGCAATTTAGTGAGACGTAGAAATATAAGGAAGCATTCCAGCTTTGAATTATATGAAAACCTACTCTTTCTAAACAACTCAAAAAAGCCTTTTAGAAAAACTCAAACAGGCAAAACATACTTTACCTTGGGGATTGTTAAGATTTTTATAAAAGGAATTAATAATGACGCAGTTAACCCAATATTCTATAGAGTCGTACATGAAAGTTAGGAGAGTATTATTATTAAAATGTTCACTACGGGGTCATTATGTTGTTAAATTATTTACACAAATGATGCTGGGCTTTAAATAAATACGATCAAACTTCGTTACATTCTTTAGAAGTGTTCAATCTCCTTACACAAGTTTCAAGATTAGAATCCTCAATAATTAATGAGTGTGATAAGTTAGTCTATTGAACTCGAGATAACAGCTGGAAAATGTTGATTTGTGTTTTTAGAGATTCTACAATTCTTTTTTCTTCAAAATGTTTTATGTTATGTTTGTTTTATTTTTAATGTTGATTTTTATCTGTATTTTTATGTATGCCTAATACTATAATATACCATATACCAAATACCGTAATTCAATGTATACCATCCCTAATACAATTTGTTTTCTTTTCATCAAGGAGGTTGAACTTTGCCACTATCATGGAAAAGTTCGAGGTATGCCCTCCTCCTGGGCGGCCGTTTCTACTTGCAACGGGATAAGGTACGACTTACTAATTAGTAACTATTTTTCCAATGAATTATTAACAATGCGAATTTATTTGGCAGGGGGATGATTCACGATGGCAAGAATGTGAGGTATATTGAAAAATCGCCCAGCAACGATGGAGATATAATAGGGGAACATTTAATATACGATCACGCGGATTTAACCACAAACCATACCTGTGGTAAGTAAAATTAGAACGTACAATTGTCAAAGTTTATTAATGTACAGGTACAAAAAAAAGAGTCTTAACAAAATACGGTTGGAAAGATGCTTCTACAGTAGGTACTCACTTATAGTCCTGACCTAGCTTCTTCAGACTACCTCCTACTAATTTCCTTAATGGAAAATCTTCAGTTTCAAAATCGATTTATTTTAATTTGTGTTCGATGTTTATCTATCGATGGTCGATAGGATCTAAATGGATTGTTTTATGTTGATCGTCATAGTTTTTCCATCTATCCATCGATGGTTGATGTTATCGAAATCGATTTTTTTTTATTGATGCTTGATGTTTATCCATCGATGGTCAATAGTATCGAAATGAATTGTATTTACGTTAATGCACGATGTTAATCTATCGATGTTCGTTAGTATTTAAATCGATTTGTATGTTAGTCCTCGATGTTTTTCCATCGAAAGATGATAGTGGAAAAATCGATTTATTTTTAATTGGCCGTCGATGTTTATATATCGATAGTCGATGGTATCAAAATTGATTGTTTAAAGTTTGTACTCGATGTTTATATATAGATGGTCCATAGAGTGACAATAGATTTTTATTGATTATTGACGTTTATCGATCGATGGTTATGTCAAAATCGATTTTGTTATTGATGCTCTAAGTTTATCCATCGATGGTTGATGATATCGGAATCGATTTTTTTTATTGATGCTAGATGTTTATCCATCGACGGTCGATAATATCGAAATAAATTATATTTACTTTAATGCTCGATGTTAATCTATCGATGTTCGTTAGTATTTAAATCGATTTGTATGTTGGTCCTCGATGTTTTTCCATCAAAAGATGATAGTGGAAATATAGATTTATTTTTAATTGGCCGGTCGATGTTTAAAGTATCAAAATCGATTTGTTTATTGATACTCCATGAGTATGTATATGTATATGTATGTATATATATATACATATATATATATATACACGTACACTTATTTATACATATATATATAAAAGCTCTATAGCCGATCAGTGCCCGCTGCCCTGCTCCANATTTTTTTATAAATAAGAAATTTATCCATTTCCGCTCTTGTTAGGAAGACAATAAAAACAAAACATCAAAAACACACATGAAAACATGAATATTTTGACACTATTTTACAGCAGCAAAACAGGAAATTAAGAGGAAAACTGCGAAATTTCATAGCAATGTAAATAATCAAATATAAACCTAAAAAATCGATTTGCTGATATTTTCGAAAAATAGCTTCATCATAGACATCAAAAATGAAGAGGAAAGCATATTATAGCGTCGGGCTGCTTTACATCAATGTTTGGATATATTGAACATAAACAGTAAAATAACGAAATTTCAAAGCAAAATATTGATGTTTCAAATCATGGAAGACCGACAGCAAAACCTCGACGTTTTCCTGCATCGAAAATCAACCATAAAATTCGAAAATAAACACCAAAATATCGACGTTCCATCAATCCATCTCAACACCGAAACACTGAAAATCAACTGCAAACCATAAACGTTTCAATCCATCGAACATAACCAGAAAAAAAACAATGTTTTGGAGCATCGAACATCAACAAATGTGGAATATCAACAGCAAAATATCGAAAATAATTAGCAAAACATCAATACATTGGTCCATGGCACATCAATAACAAAATATAAAAATAATATCGAAAATTAACACAAAACGTCGACGTTTCAACCCAGAGCAAAACATGTATATTTTTATGTATCGAACATTAACAACAAAATATAAAACATAATCAGCAAAACATCGAAAATTAACAGTAAAATACAGATGTATTGGTTCATCGAACATCAATAACAAAATATCAGAAATTAACAGCAACAAATCGGTTTTCACTTACCAAACTTCAAGAGTAAAACATCGATGATTTGATCCATCGAACATCAACAACAAAATATTAAAAATAATATCGAAAATTAATAGCAAAACAACGATGTTTTCATTTATCGAACATGGAAAGCAAACCATCGAACATCAAACTGCAAAACAAGGATGTTTTAATTCGTGGAACATCAACAACAAAATTTCAAAAATCAACAGCCAAATCTCAAACACGAACAGCCAAACATTGACGTCTTGCTCCATCAAATACCAATAACAAAATATCCAAAATCAACAGGAAAATTTTTTTAAACCAACACCAAAACATCGATGTTTCAATCCATTAAAGAGGGAAAAATCAATAGGAAAACATCAATGTTTTGATCCATCGAATATCAACAAGAAAATATTCAATATCATCAGCCAAATATCAAAGATGATTAGCAAAATTTTGATGTATTGGTCCAACAAATACCAACAACAGAATATCGAAAATCAACAGGAAAATGTCTAAAACCAACACCAAAATATCGATGTTTCAATCCATCAAAGAGGCCAAGATCAACAACAAACCATCGGTGTATTGGCCGATCGAACATCATCGTCAAAACATCGATGTTTTTTTTTTCAATAAATCGAACATTAACAGCAAAACATCGACGTTTTGATACTATCTAACGTCAATATATTTGAATAACATCAACAAAATAAACCGTTTCCATACTATCAACTATCGATGGTTTAACATCGAACAATGACTTAAAAACCATCTACATTTCCACACAATTAAAAGATTTTTAATGGAAGATGAACAGCAAAATCTCAATTTTTCTGCACCAACCGTTCATTACAAAAGGCACTACCTTTAGTGTATGGATTACTTAGGATATTAAAAGAGTTTACTTACTTTGCAGGGTGAAAATGAAAATTGCTTATTCGACATTTGAAAATTGAAGTAAAACCAAGTGTCTTCCAAATCCATGGAGACGAAGGGCGACTCTATCGCTTATTCTAGTTCGAAAGACAGGGAAAATTGAGTTTCAAGAAAGTTTTGAGAAATTCTAGACATGAAAGGGTCCAAGGGTTAACGCCGAGAGAACGAATTTGATTATCCTTTCCTTCCCTGACTTGTCTCCAAAGACTTTCGGTTTGCACTAAATAAAAAAACTGAAGATTTTGTCAATTTCCTTCCGTGAAAATTGTAAGGCGGAGTTATTACGAGTCGCTTGAGTTGAACTAGCAAAAAACCCGTATAAACTTACAAAAAAAGATGATTTCACGTGTATTGAATTTTTTATATTGAAAATTATTTATAAAAAATGAAAATCTAAACGAAATGCACTGATAAAAAATAATAAAGACAGGTTGGGGAATGTCATGAATAAACAAAGACAGGCTCTCGGGGTAAATCTTGACTTAACTTTTCTCTTACCGAATCAATTGATGTCGCGTTCAATCCCGTTTGTCTAGGGAATTAAATTTTCCTTTAAGACAACGATGATTTCCCTTGAAGCAGAAGTTAATCCTTTCAACTGGCTTGGACAGAAACATAAATCGATCGCATATTTCGTCATTAAACATACAAAAAACAAATCGTTTTATGCCTTAAATGCGCGATATTTGTTCACATTTCCCGTTACGACAGACTTGGTTTATTGAAGGTTAACAAGTGCAATAAACAGAAGGAATTTAAAATGCTCGAAGAATAAATTTTTTCTTGACCTTATAAACTTTAAGAAAAGAGAAAAGAAAGTAGTAACCATTAGAAATAAAACAAACGTCGATTCTATTGATAATGAATATTGTATATATATCAAATAGTTACTTGGGATTGTATATACAAACAGAAACAGATATACAAATATCGAGATATAATAAATTATATACATATATATGTATATTTATTAAAACGTAGAGGGATGTTTATTGTATAGCTGGACATCGCAAATATATATGTCATGTTCAGATTTAAATGAACCGCCATGCCCCTCCAGACAATCAAACAGTGAAATGAGTAGGGGCCAAGAAAGGGCTATTTTTTCAAGTCCTAGAACAGATCCCTTTCTGGCTTGTGTGGGAAAACAGCTATTTTTCGTAAAAAGAAAAATTTGGTGTGCACACTATTCAAGTGAGTTAATTTTTATTACTTTGACGTCAAAATAAAAAAATAATAATTGTAATTTAGTTTTAAAAGGGTATATATTTTTATAAAGAAAAAGAAAATAAATAATATTTCATTTTAAAAGTTGTGTTAATATTTTAATTGTATTTTCTAATTTGGTGGTCAAAATTTTATTAATAATGATAATAATAATAATTTCTTTACCTTTCTTTATGGAACTATAAAACGAGAATCAAATTCCATTTTAAAATTAAGGTTTGTAGATTTGAGATAGGTTTGTTATAGGATAAAAGGATTCTTTAAATTAAAAATAATAATTAATAAAATATATTGTCATTTTATGTGAAAATAAATTGTAATTAAAGATTCAAATTTAACAAACATTTGGTGTCGTATTTACTCTGGTTTAAATGAAAGATAAAAGGTGTCTGATCGATAAATGAAATAATTGTAGTCAGGTCCGATCGTAAAAAACCTCTGGGACCTTGTTTTCGGTTTTCCGAATTCAGGGTTGGGCCCAACAAAAAAGAAGAAGAGACACGCTATATCGTTTGTGTGTGTGTGTGTGTGTGTGTGTGTGTGTGTGTGTGTGTGTGTGTGTGCGCGCGCGCGTGCGTGCGTGCGTGTGTGTGTGTGTGTTAATTAATTATCAATATATATATATGGAAAATTTGTTTTTTAATAAATAAGAAATTAATTCTCTCAAGGTGTTCTCTGTAATAATTAGAAAATTTTAAAAGTTAATTAAACCTTAAATTGTTTGAATCTTAATTTTGATGGGAATTTGCCATTTTACTGTCGCCCTATTACAAGAATTTATTTAATTGTTTTACGTCGAACCAAATGTGATGTTTAATTATATTTCCATTTTATAAAATATGTATGATATTATCATAAAAGGGTACTCAGGGGTACTTTTATTTCTGTTACATTTTAATTTATTATTATTTAACAATTACAAAAGTCACGTTCCTAAACTCTTTTTCTTTTGTATTACAGCATACATTTTTTTTTCCTTTTTGAAAATATGTTTACTATTCTGGGTTTTTTGTGTGTAAACGGTATTAGATTTCGACTGCTTCATATTTACAGTCGTGCACGGATGTTTGACCTTAAAAAGATAATACCGATAAAATTCCCTACTTCTTATGAACATTAGATATTATTGTACAGTTAACATAAATTTTCTCGGCGTTCCCTTTGTTGATTAATCATTGAGGGGAAAAAATGTTATCGGCCCCAGTGTAGCTTTGGGATTTACGACCCCGCAATTTAATCTCCTTTCTTGTATTAACGGTTTTTATTGATTCATTGATGGATTTAGTGCAAACCTATCAGCATATCGATCTTTTCTTCTGCCCCCCCCCCCGGCCGTGAATATCGTGAAATTAGCGGAAAGGAAGTCACGCAATTCTCCTGGGTCCAGACGGTCCTTGCCTAACGTAGCGCCTTAAACAGGCATCAATCTTCGAAAAGGCCGTTTGTCCCAATAATCTCGACCGATGCCGACTTCTATCTTTACGGGCCGAAAAACTCAATTTCCTTCCAGCCGTTCCAGGACGAGATCAGGACTTCCGATTCCCTCCATGTCAATTTCATCTTCAACAAACAGAAATTGTTTGGAACTTCGAAATCGATATTTTTACCCTGAGACAACTTTTCTTAACTTTTTCAATTTGTGTCTTTCATAAATAAAATGAGTGCGTTTCAAAGACAAAACACTCTGTTGTTGTGTTTTTCCTCCTTTTAACTATTCATAATTTAAACTATGCATCATAAAAGAAGCATATTGTTGAAACAAGCGTAAATATAGTCTTTCTTTTTGATAATTAATATTATTGACATATTTAAGCATTTAAAGCGCATTTTCAACTCCCTTGCCTATGCCTCCCTATGCTGGACTTGACAAAGTTAACTGAGCAAAGTTGTTTCCATTTGAAATAACCAATCAAATAAATATATCACATTTGCGTATATACTTTCCACATAGTTTGAAATGTGTAGTATTTAGTGCCGTTAATTAATTATTATTTGGAGGTCTTGAGATGGTGTCTGGTGTGACGTAGAAGAAAATTTTATTCATGCCAACGTTTCGATCTTTAAAACAATAAAGAAAATGTTTTCCTAAACTTACATCACACCAGACCACATCTCATGATCTCTAAATAATCATTGTTTAACATTAAATTCACTAATTTTGTGGTCCGCTTGACTAATTAATATATTATAATTAAATAAGGTTTTTAGTTGAGATAAAAAGTCAATGGCACGGATGGAGAGCAGGTGTCCGAGTGGATCGAGATCACGATAGCTCAAGTAATAGAGCAGCGGCGTATCAAACCGAAGATCTTGGGTTCGAATCCCGCTCGTGCCATTGTCTTTTTTATCTCAACTAAAAACCTTAATTAATTATAATTGTTTGAAATGTTATGGCATGTAGAAAGGGCTAAAATTGAATTATTTAATATTGCTCACAATTTAGAAAAAGGATCGATAGTGAAAACACTTACGATTGTTCAACAATTCAGGAATTATTTACAGAGCACAATAAAGACTTGTAAATGTATTAATAATATAGACTTGGAAAAAATTCAGTAAGATAGGAAAAAAGTAATAATAATAATAAATAGATAAATTTTAATAATAATGGCCATCTTGGTGACCAGAGTGAAGTAAAAAAAAAGAAATTGTAAACCGTCGAATTTAAAAATCATATTGTACTGTAAAAGCCTGTAATCTTAAAGGAAGTAGGCTGTAAAATAATTTAATTAATAAGTACTTATTGATTGGTAATGTAAATTTATGTCCTGGAGGCTCACAGATTGGATTTTTTTTTTTTTTTTTTTTTTTTTTGGCAAGTTTCATGTTTTCCAATGTATTGCGAGCTTCTCTTGGAAAAATTGGCCGTTGCTCAGAAGAGTTAGTAGTCTGAAGGTGAAAGGTCAAGACTTAAGAAAGAAGCCTCATTCCATCCATTTGGAACGTTTGTGCATTGTGTGATGGAAATTATATGATGTGATGGTGTGTTTTTGAAAAAAAAAAAAAATTGCCTTATGATGATTGTCTGCAGAAGGGAGGTCCGGACCTAACGATGTGAATAAAAGAAGCTTGATTTCATCAATTGTGTGACTTGACAGTGTGTTTTTGAAAATAAATTTTCTTCTGAAATGATTGTCTGAAGTCCGATTTTTTTTTTTCTTTTTGAATTTGGGAAATTGTATAAATATGCCTTGAGGTAGTCTGAACACACACACACACACACACACACACACACACACACACACACACACACACACACACACAACTAAGTCAATAACTAAATTTATACAGAAATTGTGAAAATAGTAATTTTTTACTATTTTACTGCTCATGAAATTCCATGTTTAAAATTCACTACGAAGCAAGACCGTGATGAATTTTCAACAAAAGCCAGAACTTTTCCCTCCAGTAACTCAGTCACGAGTGAATGATTGTCTAAAAAATAAAGAATAGACCTTTCCAAAGACTTGGTTGCAAAGTTAGTAGAGAAGAACAAATTGTTTATTTTCTAAAATCATTAAAATTATAACGCTCTTTGTGAGATTCTTAGTATGACACGTAATCATTTGTTTAATAAATTGCTTAAATACTTTGTTATTTAAAATATGAATTCAGCAAAGGTATGTGAAAAGTACAAAGAAAACAGGATTTATCTATTTTAGTAATTAATTATAATTAAATATGTTAATTGTATTTGTTTCCTTTGTTTAGGATATGAAGGGACCCCGTATGACATTTTAGACTTCTATGAACGATCTCATCATGCAAACCGAGTTTGTGTTAAACCTGTTATCATATACTTGTTATTTTTATATTATTGTTTCATAATGAAATTTTATTATAGGCAAAGAGAAGTCTTCAATCAATCCGAGGGCCATACAACGCAAATAAAAGGTCTAGATATGTTGAACTGGTTTTAGTTGTAGACAATAAACTTTATGAAGCGATGAACAAAAATCTAGATACTGTCCATGCACATACAAAGGATCTAGGAAATATCATAAATTCAGTGAGAATAATATTTATAAATTAATAAAACTTTAAAGTTGTTTTTTTATTATTTGTTTTTGATTTTATAGTTGTACATGCCTCTGAATATATTCATTGCTCTTGTCGGTGTCGTGGTCTGGACTGAATTGGATGAGATTGAACTTTCAACCAAAGGGGACACGACATTGACCAACTTTCTTCATTACAGGAGAGGGAGGCTTGTCAAAGACCATCCGAATGATAACGCCCAACTTTTGACGTAAGGAAGACAATTCAAAGACTTTGTGAACAGATAATGACAGAATGCGATTTCCAGGAGGGTCCAATTTGAAGGAGGCGTCGTCGGCAAAGCGTTGAAAGGCCCGATGTGCACGTTTGAATTCAGCGGCGGTGTCTCTATGGACCACAGCCCAGTCGTCGGCCTTGTGGCCACTACGGTCGCTCATGAAATGGGGCACAACTTTGGCATGGAGCATGACACAAAAGCTTGCGACTGTCCAGACGATAGGTGTATAATGGCTGCCTCTTCAAGGTGAATATTTTAATTATTGACTGATATCTTAATGATATTTTAATTTTTAATTGTAAATTTTCTAGTACTGAATGCCCTACACATTGGAGCTCATGTAGCTTACGTTATCTAGCTGAAGCTTTCGAGCATGGGATGGATTATTGCCTTAGAAATAGGCCAGAAAGGTACAAAAAAAAATTTTCGCCCCCGCTATACCCTATACTGGCAGACTTAAACAGTTTTATATATAAACGGTTTTATTTTTTTCAGCCTATTTGACAGTCCGGTTTGTGGTAATGGTTTTGTTGAACCTGGAGAACAGTGTGATTGTGGTCTGAAGGATCGATGTACTAACCCTTGTTGCAATGCTTCGACTTGCATGCTCCATTCAAACGCTTCATGTGCAACTGGAGAATGCTGCGATCTTTCAACCTGCCATCCTAAGACAGCAGGTCACATGTGCCGGTGCGTCAACTTCTTAAATCTTGCATTAAAAAAATTTGAATCTTGATCTTAACTAATAATTTATAAACAGGTCTGCCGATCATGAGTGTGACCTGCCGGAATACTGCACAGGAGAGTCGGAATATTGTCCAAACGATGTTTACAAAATGGATGGAGAGAGTTGTTCAAGAAGAGAAGCGTTTTGTTACAAAGTGAGATTATTTCATTAAAATATTCAACAATATGAGTTTGTCTTACATAATTTTAAAATTATTTTAAATTAATTATTTTATTTTTAAGGGGGAGTGTCGGAGTCATAATGATCAGTGCAAGCTTTTGTGGGGCCCGAGTGGAAAGTCTTCCAACTTTAGCTGCTACCAATTTAACACTAAAGGGTCTCGCCATGGAAATTGTGGATATAATAGATTAAATCAGTCTTATATTAAATGTTATGATGAGTAAGCAGCATATTTATCACTTTGCTTGATGGTATATTTCAATTTACTTATTTTCAGACATATATTTTGTGGTATGCTCCACTGCATGCATCTCAATGAGAGATTGGAATTTGGAATGGAGTCAGTCTCAATATTAAGCCATTCATTTATCAATGCTGGGAAAAACGTCATACCGTGTAGGACAGCTATCGTCGATTTGGGTATAAACGAAGTAGATCCAGGTTTAGCGCCCGATGGTGCAAAATGTGCAGAGGGAAAGGTACCCTTAAGCCCTGTCGTAAATTTTAAAACCTAAATTGAATCTGAATTTTTCAGATGTGTGTGGGTCAAAAATGTCTTGCTGTCGAATCCCTTACTGCTGGAACGGCATGTAAAAACAACTGCAACGGAAACGGCGTTTGCAACAGTCTTGGTCATTGCCATTGCAACCCAGGATACGCGCCGCCGTTCTGCCAGGATCCTGGAACCGGCGGTTCGGAAGACAGTGGCCCAGCTACCCAACCCAATGGTAACAATCGCCACTTTTACCAAATAAACTCCGACAAAGATTCCTCAATGTGTCTTTTGTACAATTCTGAAATAGTTATTTAAACTCAATTTCCTTTCTATTTCCAAAGGGCCAATTGCTGTGCGCTGCCGAATAAAGGGTGTGTAAGATGTAAAATATGTAGATGAACTTAGATTTTTTTCCTGCATCTGTATAGTTTACTTCTTTTGACTACTTACTATTGTAAAAACAATTTTAATTCAATATTTGGCTTGAGGCAAATTGGCATTTCGCAAACAATTATTAATAATCTTTTGGCAGAGCGCAAAGTAGGCAGCAACTAGTTAATAAAATACTATGCTATTTACGTTATTTTGAAATGAAATGGAATTTCATTTTTACAATATTTAGATGTTAATCAAATTTTATCTTCCCTTATAAAAATATATACATAAAAAAACAAGCACACATCTCCAAAGGTGAACAAATTAAAGTTTTAAACTGTTTGCTAATACTTTTATTATAAAAATAAAAATTGTATCATTTTTGTTTCTTATCTTTATAATTTCAGATTGTACAATCCAATTGAAAACAGCTAACTTTTTTATTTTTTATTTTATTTTAATAATTAAATATTTAGTAAAAATCAACTTGAAATATCAGTTTGAACTGCCATAGACCCAAAAACCCAATTAAATCAAAAATTTCATTCTCTTCCATATGAATTATGTGTTATTTATTTATATAAAGAAGATAAAATTTGTTTACCCAATCAAATATTAGATTATAGTAGGTTTAACCCAGAATGTCATTAACAATTTATTCTCATTTTGTTTCTAGCCCGACGTGAAGTCATAAACGCTTTCTACATCATTTTCCTCGGAATTGTTCCTGGAATCGCATTAGCGTCGCTGTTCATCTACTACATCAAGAGGAGCAAAGTCTTCGGGAAGAGGCCACGTCAGACAATGTATGTACATAAACTACCTCCTCCTTTAACTCAGGAACCGATCTATGAAGAAATAGCTGAACACGATCCCAATAACATTTACGCGGTACCGGCCGACACGAATAACACAATTACATACAAAACGCCTTATAAAAAATATAGTATCAAAGCTGAATATGCTAGGCCAAAGCTAGAAATTTCAAATTCACATTTGATATCCACAACAAGCAAGCAGGCAATGGATTTGCTAAATGCAAATTTAAAAAAGTAATTAATGTTAAATACCAAAAATATCTATTTAATATGTGCATGCTTTAAAACTATTTTCTTATGCGACTGAAAAATATCTCTTGCGCTTTTTAGTAATGGAAAGTCTTTTGCTCAAGTTTTCTACTTTCACTTTGACCCATATTGATTATCAAGTTTCAAGTTCTAAAATATTTTTTATTTCATTCACTTTTAAAGGTAGAACCAATTTTTAAAAAGAGATCTAACTAATAAATAATCATAGTAAATTGAACTTTACAAAAAATTGATAAAACTTTCCAAGAAACCTCTTCTAAATTAATAAGAAATAAAACTAAATCAATTTATTTAATTTTTATTTAAATTTAAGACGTCTTTCATTCTGGTATATGCATGAATGAATATCTGCTTTTTAAATATTTTACAGTAAATTAATTGCAGTGTGTACATAAATTTTAAGTAAAATATGCTTTGTATGTTTGAACCTGAAAAAAATTTGTCACACAACATACAGATAAGAATTCCTACAAGTTTTTTTTGCATAAAAAAATATATACGTACGTGTCACACTTTTCTTGTGTTGGAATTGAGAATTTTATGTTTTCATGTTGTCTGGGGGAATATAAATGTAAATATGCTTTTTGTGTTTTCTCAGATTTGAAAAGAAACATAATCACCTTGGAAATGCTGGAGGTAGACATCAACCAATGGAGATTTCAGGGCCCATGAACGTCGACCACTCAAGAGCCACGCTTCTTCCTAAGCAAGATTCAAGTGAGATCCGAAACGAACTCCTCGGCCAGTTTAAAGGTTTTAGCATTACACCGATTCAGGCCAAGCCTGTTCCTATCCGCCCTGCTCCATCGGCTCCGATTGTACAGACGAATGATGAACGGCCTATTATTTCAAGGCCTGTTCTTGAAGGCACCACTTCTTACACCGCCCAGGAGCTGATGGACAAAAGGCCGAGGATGGCATCGCCTATCAGGCCGGCACCAAAAGTCCCAATGCAGCAACACCGTGTCGAAGAAAAGAAAAAAGATCACCCGACACTAACGAGAATAGCTTCTTTCATGAGAGGGCAAAAATTAGATAAAAATCAAAGGCCAAGGTTGGATAAAGAGACATTGAGGAATCTCGAAATTTCAGATCCAATCCCACAAACTGAAATTGAAGTTCCCAAAGGGACAGTTTCAGTTGAAATATCAAGAGCGCAGAGCATGAGAGAACAGCCTATAAAGCGACCACAACTACCAACTTTCGGTTCAATGCGAGTTCAAAATAAAAGACCTAATAGTATTCCAACTGCATTAAGACCGAAATCACCACCTCCCATGCCTCCAAATTCTACAAAAAATGTTCAAACGTCGTATGATGATTGCCTTAATGTCAACGTCAAGGGTGCTCCTCTTGCAAAGATAGAAGATGACAGTCCAAAAGAAAATATCTATGCTGTTATAGAGGAAAGTCCTGTCGAACAAAGAGCAAATCCGAAACCTTTAGAACCTGCAGATGAGCTTTTGAACGAGATAGTGTCAGAAATCGAAGCCAGGAACACCGAGTCCATTTATTCAGCTTCCACTCTTAAGAAGAAAAAGAAAAGCACTGATGAAGAATCGTCAGATTATATGAACACATCATGGAGTGATATTTCTCCTAATCAACAAAAATCTAGCTCTTCTGCAAGTTCTAGTTCATCTAATTCAGGTTACATGAGTCCAATCAGTACTCAGTCCAAACCGATAGAAACCGAAGTCAAGCCAATCAGGGTACCTGACACTTCTGCTCCATATAAACCTTATAATAGCGCCCTTCACCGTGGTCCATTGGCAAATGCTTACAGAGCACAGGAAAAACCACCGCTGAAGAGGACGAAAACCCCACCGAGTCTGGAAGTGCACAAAAAGCCTTTAAGCATTGCTCAGTCAAAAGATAAAAAGCAACCGACTAAATTGGTAAAACCGGACATCGTTTCATCGTGTGAAGGGTTGAAATCACCAGACGTGATTTCAAGCAAAGAAGATAAAGAAGAACCCAAAAAAGTCCTTAATGGGCGACTGCCCCAGGGCAACAGGCCGGCCGTCGTGCCTAAACCCAAAGCGGTACCCATCATGAGGACCAACTCTAAAGTAGCATCACTACAAAAAAAGTTTGAAAACCAAGCTAATAGATGAATACGATGAGACCATATTTTAAATGTGAAAAACATTTTTAAATGTATTCCCTTTTAGTTTTCTATGAAATCTAACAGGATGAGCAAAGTCTGTTGGCCGAGGATTCGGTTGTGTGATAAAGATAGTCTTTTCTCTTTTCTACCAGAAAATTTTATTTGATTCCTCAACTATTTGTTCCTAATTTAATATCAAATTGATTTTCACCAATCAAGAGACAGACAAGACAGAAAAGATGTAGTTCTTCAATGTAAATATTCACTGTTTAATGTATGTATATAATAACGTGGATGTCCTAATTATTTCCATTTCCTTACGTTGGTTTTTTTGTTGTTGTACTTCTCCCAATATTTAATGTCTGTGTCAGCTTAGATGTTACTACGCAAATTGCATGCTAATTGAATACTAAATTGTATTATCCTGGTCGCTGTTATAACAATTTCTCTTCAAATGTTTTTGGTGCTACATTTGTACATTCTTATTTACAACAAAAAGAAAAAAAATTATTATCTGTTATTATCTGAAAAGGACACTTTTGTGTATTTTAATTGTTGTTGATTATATTTATAACAATGCCAATGCTTGTAAATAAGTTTAAAATGTTCATTTGCTCTCTTTTTAAATTTAAAAAAAAATTGGTTAACACCAGTCTTTTTAATACTTGTAAGATAATTCTTTTTTAAATACATATGTATATTTATTTATTCAACTTAAAAGTGTGCATTAAGCAACTTTAATTTGTATATTTTTACTATAATGTTAAAACAAAACAATTTTATACTTAATATAACATACATATATAAATTGTAACTGTGGCTCTTAAGTCTTAAGTGATGTATCATTAAGCTATTCGATACCAAAGATATTTTATGTGCAAGAGGTAATAAAAAATGTAAACCGTGCTTGTTGGAATACGAGAGCGGGGTGCTTTTTTTTCATTCCCTCCGATTTGATGTTTATAAAAGAAAATATATCGCTATATGTATGAAAACATTGTCGTTATTCAAAAACAGCCTTGCTCATAAACTCCCTCATAAATTCGAATATTAACAAATAATTTCAACTTTATAGAGATAGTTTGATTTGTGTAGATTTTAAAAACATTTATTTCATGCAGTTTTAGCATTTTCTGTTAAGTGATAATGAGTGACAAGTTTTAGTATTTAAATAACAACTAATAAAAATATAAACAAACTTTTATCATACTTTGGCATCTTGAGACAAGCAGTTCAATTCTTCCATGGGATCAATTCATGGAGTTTTACTATTATTATTTTATTGCTAACTATTTCACTTCAGTCCCCCCCCCCAATGAAAAAAGACCCCATTACTTCAAGAAAAAGCGGTAGTCTAAAATTTTGGTAAAATGTTTCTTCTATTTTTGTAAGTTTTTGTTTTACATGCTGGGAATTGAATGTGTGGTTTGTTGAAAAAAAAATCTTCTGAAGTGGTAGTATGAAGGTGCAAGATCTGGAGTGGAATCTTAATTCTAACCTATCTGAAAGCAATTTCCTTTATGTTGGGAAGTGTGTAGTTGGATAATCCAGTTTGAAGGTCAAGGCATTTAAAATTTTGTCTATTAAAAATTTATAGTAAAATTTTTGTAATACAAGTAGTACATATTAGTTATGGTCCAATAAACACCTAGTGGTCATTGCCGACCCTCTCCTAACCACATTATACAATTAAAAACTCTTGTAGGCGGTGCTGACACTCTACATGCTAAGCGATAGGAGGACATTTAGCGCACTTAATTAATTTTTGTGTGGAGAGAAGGTACAACAATAATAATATTCATAAACATTTATTTTTGCTAAATTCACTATTTTTCGTGGTTCGCTTGACCAATTAATAACATTCAATTAATTAAGGTTTTAAGTTGAGATAAAAAAGTCAGTGTCACGAGCGGGATTCAAACCCACGACCTTCGGCTTGATACGCCGTTAATCTACCACTGATCTATCATGACTTCGATCCACTCGGACACCAACTTCCCATCTCAACCCACCTTTTTGAATTTTCCCTCCTTTTTGCCATTTTTCAAATATCGTGTAATCGGATTGGATTCTCGGCGACAAATGAAATGGCCACGGAGAGCTTTAATGAAGTGTACTTCATTTCAATTCATTAAATTCACTATTTTTCGTGGTCCGCTTGACCAATTAATAACATTCAATTAATTCAGGTTTTAAATTGAGATAAAAGTCGAAGTCACGATAGATCAGTGGTAGATTAGCGGCGTATCAAACCGAAGGTCGTGGGTTCGAATCCCGCTCGTGACACTGACTTTTTTATCTCAACCAAAACCTTAATTAATTGAATTTATTTTTACACTTTACTGGTCTGTCTTAATTGACAAAGCAAACAAACAAGTCCTTCACAACTACTCTTGCCAACATTTCCACATCCTTCACCTACTTCAAGTTACTCCTTTCCACTGCTTCCTGGAACTCGACAGTTGGCTCTATTCAATTCCATCTCATTTGCTGTCTTATTTCTGGCTCTGGCTGACTGAGTCACTGAGTGAGTGTGTGACTACGCTTCCAACTGGGTTCTCTTCTACTGCTTCTGAGATACTCGACCACTGATCATTCTTCATCAGGCTTCGACTCGTCTCGTTCCTCGAAAGTTTACGTTGTCTGACTGAGCCCCCTTAGACACTGCTTCTGAGACACTCAATAATCGCTCATTTGCATCAGGCAGCTCTTCGAGTCATCACTCTACTCTATTTGACTCATCGCAGACAACCCTTGATCACTGACATTGTGTCTATGGCTGACAGCTCTATTCAACACTGCGACACTGCTTTCAAGGCACTCAATAGTCACTTGTTCTGCATAGGGCTGCTCTTAGCCAGTCAACTTTATTCGACTCGTCTTGGTCCACAACAGTCCACGTCATTTCTCAACCAGTTGTTCACTTACCCTCCGTATGGCTGAATAAGTGTCCATCACAGCCCTGCTTCCTGAGTCAACTTGTCCTCCTTAAAAAAATTGTTATTTTGTTACCTACTGTGTCGGCAAAGCTTGACAAATTCAATCAATGTCAAATTCACAGCCTAATTCATGCCCATTGCGATGCATAGGTCAGCAGGGACTCAGTAGAGCTCATCATGCAAGCTTGTAGTTTTCTGCATTGGAAAATATGCTCAACCCTTTTTCTCTTGATGTATAATGGGCATTGATGAGGTCTCATTCAACAAATGTCCATGTGTAAGCCTAGTACGACCTATGTGAAGCCTCTTAAGTTTGGCAAATAATGGGCATTGATGAGGTCCATTCAACAAATATCCATGTGTAAGCCTAGTACGACCTATGTGAAGCCTCTTAAGTTTGGCAATTTCCTTCTAGACCTGCCCTCCGTGGACTAAGGATTGTATTATAAGGAAATTGGTTTCATGAAAAACACACCTCAGCAATTACACATTTTATTATCTCATTTTAATATCTCCTGTTACAACTTTATTACACATTAACAAGTTTAATAAGGAGTCGTAATTTTTTTACGTACATACTTAAAATAAAGTTACTGGAAATTGATTTTAAGAAAACTTTTAAAAAAATCTTAAAATTATGGCACAACAAACAAAATTAAGGCAAGATTTGTTTTTCCAGCATCTACAAGGAAAGGAAAAAACGGAGTAAAATGTAGGTTATTTACAATCTACAGCTCTGAAATTTTCAATTCAAATACAACAACCTAAATAAATATCACATCCTATTAATATATTAATAAATTAACTTAAAGCTTCAACTATTTTCTCTTTTAAAATATTACAAAAATAAGCTGACTGATGTCAGAGGAAAAGAAAACTATGTATAATAAATTTTTCAACTGTTAATTTGAAATTGCTAAACAAAAACAAAACAGATCATTGGCCTATTGATAAATTAGCCATAATTGTTTTTTGTCAATTATCACATTTTCTCTTTTTCTTTTAATAAAAGATTTTATTTTAAAAAAATCACATCATCGAGGAAAAGAGATACAATTTTCCAAGTACAAAATATAAGGGAGAATAAAGTTACTCGTCTGTTGGATCAATCAGGTAAGAGGGGTAAAATGAAAACATCGACAATTAAATTCCAGATGCACCGGGGGTTGAGTTTCTTATTGGCGTCGAAGCTTTCACCGCAAGCGCCTTAAGCTCTTCGTTGGCTTCTTGCTGCAACATGGCGTTGTCAAGGCGGGATATCGCCTCGCTTAACTCCGTGGCCCAATCGTCTCCTCCTTTAGGCGCCTCGATCACGGCCAAATCCCTTACTCTTTGCCTCAATTCTTCCAAATCCTAAAAAAATGGAAATTTTTTGTTACAAATAGAAGCTTAGACGACTGGGAAAGCATGCTATGGGTCCCATCCATTATTCAAGCCATTAGTTCTTCCTCCAGCCCACAATTTGCATATGTACACAATGAAACATTTATACTTTTTTGTCGTACTTTTTCCCTGGACATGCCTGTGTTTCTCCCACATTTTATTGCCCGTATTATTCCCCAGAACATGAATTTTAAGTGCCAAATACCATTTTAACAGTAAATACGTACATATTTAATTTCCACCTACTTTAGCTGAGGTGCTTGTTGTTTGTTCGCCTTCAATCATTCTGATCTGCCCCTATTTTTGCTTATTTTGACTATCATGTGTCGCCACTTTTTGTGGACAAAAGTGTCAAGAATAGGCAAACCAGAGATGATCGAGCTACATCACCGTGCAAACCTCAACACAAAATTCCCTGCTGAGGTTGTCAACTTTAAGCTATGTGAGTTAGTACTAAAAATAAATGTTTTCATCTTAATTTATTTCATTTACATTACTTCATTTGTTATAAATTTAAGCTCCAATCGACATATATTACACATAAAATATATTAAACCTATCTTTTCATAACAATCCCATGATAACGAAACTATGATTTGTTTTAAAAAAAATATAAGTAACAAATAATATGTAATTTTATAACTTCGGTTGTGTCTGAAGAAGGCTTGGCTTCACAAAAATCACCCAGGCCCCACACTGAAGAGGGCGACATGCCTTAACCTATCTAACAGACTAGCGTAGTGATGATAGGTCAAAATGACCATAAACGATCAAAATGCAAATTATTTGTTACTTACATTCGTCATTACTGATCATTTTGGTCTACCTATCCTCACTGATTGTGAGTTCGTTGGTCAGATGCGTTTGGGCATTTCATAATCAACAGTGTTGGGTCTGGGCAAATTAGACGTAGTTTCTCACAAATCACCAAGACAAAACACTGAAGATGCAAAATGCCGAAATGCATCTGACAGATTAGCCCAGTGATGATTGGCCAAAATGACCATAAACGATCAAAATACAAATTAATTGTTATTTACATTCATCATTACTGATCATTTTGGTCCACCTAACCTCACTGGAGTCATTGGTCAGATGCGTTTGGGCATTTCATAATCTACAGTGTTGGGTCTGAGCAAATTAGACTTAGTTTCTCACAAATCACCAAGACAAAACACTGAAGATGGCAAAATGCCGAAATGCATCTGACAGATTAGCCCAGTGATGATTGGCCAAAATGACCATAAACGATCAAAATACAAATTATTTGTTACTTATATTCGTCATTACTGATCATTTTGGTCCACCTAACCTCACTGGGTTCATTAGTCAGATGCGTTTTGGCATTTCATCATCTTCAATATTATGCCTGGTTGTTTATCTGAAGCCAAGTCTCCTTCACCTAGATCCAACACTGAAGATAACAAAATGCTGAACCCAACCCAATTAGGATAAGACGACCAAAATGATACGCAACGACCAAATTTCAGGTTCATCATCCCTCAGACAACATAGAGAAGTAAAACTTTATTATGCCCGATCAATCTGTTCTGCCTTCTCGCTCATTTTTTCTGCCGAGATGTTTCGCAGATCAGGATGATCGGAGACGATCTAGCACAGGTTCATCACCTCCTCCATCTCACAACAAATATTAAACTCAAACCCAAAATAGTTGAGTTTCTGTGGCAGACATGCAATTTGAAGTATTTCATGCATGCTAAGATGAGTGTTATTGAAATCTGGGTGCAATGTATTCTTCAAAATCTATCTCAAATGTAGATGTTTAAAAGAATTGCTGTAGGTAATGTACTCAGATTTTTTTTATATTCTCTTAGCTACTAGTAAATAGTCCAGTGTCAGTGAGATGACAGGTCAAAAAGCCCACAAATAAATTTTACTATTATTAGACCAATTGACTCTATCAATCATAATTGTGAGTACAGAAATGCTGTTAGTATCCGTGTTGTTTTGTTAATAATTTAAGAGCACGTCAAATTACTTACGAGTAAAGGAGAAAAAGTGCTCTTATATCATAATACTAGCGTATTTAATTGATGTTCTATCCCTTTACCAAATTCCGGTTTGACGATAGTTTGAATTCTCCCTTTCTGCAATATAAAAATGCGGTTGATTTCTTTTTGTAGCTGAACAGTTGAAAGGCAAGACCGGTCGAATTTTACCATCCCCAAAGTGTTTAAAAAATTTAAGTTCAAACCCACCTCTTCTAACGGTTCAATATCGAGTTCTTCGTTATCCGATATTGCAGAAGATGTAGCCATGCTGAGACTGCCCAAACTGCGTAAATCTGCCCTTTCCATTTCTTGTTCTATATCCCAGCAGCTTCCAACCGCGCCATCGCAATCGGCGTCTTCCTTCCGTTCAAGATGAATGTCTACAAAAATAAACCGTCAAATTTAAAAATTAATAAAAATAATCGATAACCTTACCTTTCTTTATACAAGGAATTTTCTTTTTCTCTTCACACTCAAGTTCAGCGCCCACTCCTGGTTCCCTCGGGCCAACAGGTGAAGGACTTACGCTTCCGCTCTGTTAAAATATATAATGTAACAATTTATGATTCTCATAAAATGTTAATTTTTATTTACCTTATCCTTTCTTCGGGAGTGAATCTCTTCTGATATAAGTTCAAGTCTCCTAAGCGATGCGGAATAATCAGACTTTGCTTTCGCGATCTCGGCTTGGACTTGATCGATCCGTCGCTTCTGAGCGTCCAACTGACCTTGGCAAACTTCTTTCTCCACAAAGTACGGTTTGGATTTTATAATACTCCTTTTAAGTTTCCCCTCGAGATTCAGGACCTAAAGCAATTTAAATATATTTACTCAATAGTCATTGTTATAAAAATTAAAAAGAAAAAGAGGAAAAGAATTACAATGACAATGTACATCCTGTAAGAAACAATTAGTTTACATCACTCTTATCACACAAAAGATCGTTTGCATCCCTGGTTTCTCATCCTTGAAAGCATTTCAAAAGGAATGCATGTGAAGTTTCCCAGGCTGCGTGTTTTAAACCATCCTCATGGGAATGAGAAAAGGCTGAACTTCTCTGTTTCTCACAGATACACTTTTACTTATTCTTTGTTATTTGGTCAAGCCACGTGTAAAATAATTGACTACCTTGTTTATTTATCTTTCGAATGTCAACCATGTGAAAACCCAATGAAAGAACAATAAAAACAAAATATTAAAGAAATATAGAATGAATTAAGATAATCTTCTATTTTGACTACTGAATTAATTTTTTGAAGCAACTACAGACTTTTCGTTGTTGCAAAAACTTGCTAAAAATTAAGGTCAAACTCTTATTATTTTTTAAATATTTTCAACCATCATCATAGAATGAGAGAAAATCTATTCCCAAAGATTTTCCTTTCATTTTATTATTTTCTTATTTTGTCAAGTTCTCAAAAATTAACTTCCAGGTTTTTATTGAACTATTATCAAACTTATGTGTGTAAAAACCCAATTTTCAAACTAAAAAAATAAGAATTATCATTCTTAGTTCTACGACTAATCATTCAATTATTATTATTGGTATTACTTTTACTGCTTATTAAAAATATTTTTTTATATTAATACAAACTTGATTAAATATCCAAATATGTTGAAAATTTGGGCCAAAGTCAGGATAGAATTGTTTTCAACAGTATTCATGAGAATAAAACAAAAAAAAAGTCAGGCTTCTTTGTTGTCCACAGCCTCACTTTTACCCATTCTTTCACATTTTCTCTTATAAAGAAAATGACTCCTTTGTCTATTTAACTTTCTAATGTCAAATTAACATGAAAGAAAAACAATTTTCAGGACAATAAAAATAAAAACAAGGATAAAAAATAAGTGCTGAATTAAAGTATATTATGTTAAATCAGTTTACTTTGTTTCTGGTCATCCCGGTCTGCCTACTTTCGCTTGACAGACCAACCTCCGAAGATGGCAATAAGCACAAACGTATCTAACAGATAAAACAGATTCAAGCTACAGCGTATTTGAACAATGGAAACAAAAGAAAATAATTGTATGAAGGAATGAAAAGTTTATTTTAAATTGAGAAGTGTCTTACAAGACATTAAAGTTTAATGGAAGAATAGCTGAACACTAACACAAAAATATTCAGTCTAGGCTTTTTTTATAACTATTTTGTTGCAAACATTTCCAAAATCCAAATTTTTTGAAAATTTAGATAAGAATTTTTTTCTACTGTCTCTATGACGATGAGAGGAAAAAGGTCGGGTCCGCTGCTCTGTCCCATGTTGATTCACTTTTACTTATTCTTTGTTTTTTTCCTACTCTATAAAAATTTTAACTTTCTAAATGACAAACCCAGGTTAAAAAAACACAAAAAAAAACAACAACAAAAAAAAAGCATTTTAAATATATAACTGTTGATTTATATAACATATTATTATGTAACTTGATCTTTACCGATCATTTTGGTCTGCATATCCTCGCCGTATTGGTCTGTCAGAAATGCATCTACTGACCAACCTGACGAGGGTAGGCAGGCCGAAATGATCCGTAACAGCAAAATTACAGGTTCATCACCCCACAGCAGACCACATAGAGAAATCTGTCTGCTTCATTTCCGATCATCTGGTCTGCCTATTTTCACTTGACAGACTAAACCAGTGAGAATCATGAAGATTCAACAGTGTATGTTAAATATTGCTAATAGAAAAATGAAAAAATTATTTCCAACAGAGACTTTAGTTTAAAGAGCTAACAAACATATTATTAAGGAATAGGCCAGTTAGAAAGAAAACACTAATAAAATATTCCTTTAATTTTAACATAAGTTTTTTGTCAAGCATTAGTATATTCTCTTTTTCTACGAATAAATTATCGATTTAAAAAGTTAACAAATATTTTATCTTTTCACTATTTTGAAAGCTACAGTTTCAATAAAGAAAACCTACAGAAACAGATCAAAAATGGCAAGTACATTGTACATTTTTTTTTTTATGGTTGTGTATTTACAATTATAATTAAAGGCTGATCACTAATTTTATTGAAGCTTAGAAAACTCAAAATAAAAATGCAAACAATGCTTTATTATAAAGTTTTGTTGCAAACTATCCTAAATGTAGAAAATTTGGTCTTTGTTGATTGATGCCTCCCCACCACTAATCGTTTGTAAATATTTACAAAAATAAATAAACAATATATGTATATGTAAAAAATATTCACCCTCTGCTCAGCCATGTTGAATAGCGTCGCTCGTTTTTGGTGCTCCCTGCCTTTTTCGGCCCGGTTGTACTCAGCTTCAGTGACCTGCAGAAAGGTAGGGGATTTACTCGTTATAAAATTGTTCTAAGGCCTAAGCCACAAAGGCATTTTGTAAGTGTGTTTCGTGTTGAAATTGATGGCCGGGTTTCGGCAAGAGAAGTGTGGGCGGAAAATTACCGAGGAATAAACTTTTATCTGAAGGGGTCGGGGATCGAGGTCGGCGTCTCACCTTGGTCGTGGCGTGGTTCAGCATCTCTTGCCAGGCGTTGTCGAACGTCCATTCGTGCTGTTTGCTGAGGAACCGGTCCTCGGCGAGGGCGACCGTTTCTTTGGCGGCCTGGTGAATTTCTGAAATTAAAACCCTATAGTGTACACCAAAGAAACAACTTATCATGTAAAAAAACGTAGAGAACAATATGACCATCAGACAAAATTTGACTTCTCAGTGCCCTGCAAGGTCGCCTGTAATCAAATTTGATCAATACTGGTCAATTCAGGGAAAAGAAATTTGAACGTTCAGCACAAACTACATAGGCTTCAACAGGTACATTATGTCACAATAGTACAAAATTTCCAAAAAGGTTTTGATCTATGTGAAGAAAAAATAGGGATTTTTTCTTTTTCAACAGTATTTATTTCTATATTATAAGTAAAATTCTTGGCATGTACAAATTGAAAAAAACTAAGGCAAATCTGAAACTAAGCACAAGGGTGTGAAGAATCACCCAGTGATGACACTTCTACCAGGGTCTATGTGCCCAAAAGGTGCTATTGCCACTTCAATCTCCTTGTGGGACTATTGGGGATAGTTCGGGATGTCAGGTTTAAAACAAACGGTTTGGGATGTAATGAAAGGCAGTTGTAGAATTTTAAGTCATCAGGATTTTATGACATCTTTGGCAAAAGGAATTTTAAGGTCACTGGGATTGGAAGATTTTCGATGATAATTAGAATGTTTGGTTGAACCCCTTAGTTCAATGCCGATGTCCAAATGGGTTTAATTTAATTATTGTCTCTTATATAAGTCGTTTGTCAGTTTTGATCGTTTATCTAGTAGTGAGATTGTAGCGTCTAGTCAATTCTTGCTTTTCTAGACGTGTATGAGGATTCCAAGTTAGTCTTTTGTCGATGTACAGCTAAAGGTAGCGGACGTGGTTAACTATAGCCATCCCTAACCATCCTTATAAGAAGGGATATGTTATGAAGGTATAGAGGTGACATTATTCCACGTCGGAGGGTAAAAGTTATTGGCTGTTATCTAAATTTATTTGTATACGCCACTTTTTTAGCCAAGGTTCTAGTTTGATTAGGTGAACCTGTAAGGAGCGATTCCGCGAGGATGGGAACTTTATTGGAAGATAGGATAGTAGTATGATCTGCAAAAATATAAATGGATGGGTAGGAAGTCAGCAGTACACGTGAATAAAGGATCGGACCGAGGATACTACCCTGCGGGACTCCAGTCATAACAGGGTAAGTAGTCAGAGCAGTATTTTAGATAGGACTTTAAAGTGTTCATTAGAACATCCTTGGGTTGCGATGGGACTTCACATTTTTGCGTCTTTTGTATTATTCAGTTGTTAACTTCGATTTTAAAATAGTTGATTTATACACGGCCTTTTGCTTTTGTTTTTCCCCCCTTTGAGAAAAATAGTGTACATAATTTAACCTTATGCTATCTCTTGGTCAATACTGTCCAAGAATTGTCAGCACGTCAACCTAGACATGAGCCACTTTTCAGTTTTCTGACGGTGCTACGGTGTAAAACGATGATCGACGAGAGAATCACAGATCGAAAATTCTCTCGGTCTTTATAGGTACGAGAATGTCGAGATCGCCCGGAGAAAAAAGAGGATCTCGAGATTGCCCGGAGAAAAAAGAATAAAGATGAATTGTAATGGTATGCGAAACGATGAGAAGAGGGGATTTCCTCGAAGAAAAGGCTACGAAGGACGTGGGATTGTCCTTCCTGCTTGATGAGAGGGCATTCCAATATTTTAAAATTTCAAGTTTATGCATTTAACTCTTATACAACCTCGTTTTTTAAATGAACTTATACTGTCGGGATATAGTACATTGATTTATTTGTGACAAGAATTGCACAATTTCCACTGTTACGTGGTGGGTCTAATAACAGAGTTCAGTACACAGCTTGCCAAGTTCATCGACCACTTTTAAAATGTGCGGGTTTTGTAAATAAATAATAAACTAAACAATTAGTGCTTCATACATAATTTAATGCTCCGTTAATAAAATCTTATAAAGGTTGATCGAAGAAAAGTAACGGTTGTCGTCAAAAATTGTTGTTTTCCCCCCTGAAAAATAGTTCTATCTCATCTTCATCAGTTTAAAAAAAAGAACAATACCCTTTAAGATCCTACTATGTATTTACTATGAATAAAATTACGAATACCTAGATAGTGAGGCCTTTCAAAACGTATTTTTACTGATCAATCTTGCCAATCAACTGAGTGAAATTTGGTTGTGATAAATCTGCCCACAAAGCAAAAATTAAATGTTGAGTTTTGCCATAATACTAGACAGAAGTCCATCCCAGGAATGCCAAATTATAGATATTTTGATGTAATGCCCTCCGAAAAACATTTTTACCTTTAAATATTACCTATTAATCAATAAAATTCGATAAAAGTTGAGGCAAAATTCAATGAGAAAAATCCGTCTACGAAGCAAAAATTAGAAGGTTCAGAAATCCACTCCATGGACCAAGGGTATCGATAACTATCTTGCCCTCGAAAATATATTTTGATTTTTAAATCATGCCAATTATGGAGCAAAATTCGATAAAATGTTATTCAAATCGAGTTTAGAAAAATCCATCTACGAAGCGAAAAATAAAGGTTAAGTTTTGCCTCGAAGCTAGACAGAAATCCACCCCTGGAACCCTTATAAATCTTTGTGTGAAGCCCTCAAAAATATTTTTTGAACTTTAAATTTGGCCAACTAATTTATAGAATTCGACAAACCAGTTAAACTTTTGTCAAATTTGGTTGCGAAGAATCCACCTATGAAGCAAAAGTCATATGTAGTTTTGTCTCAAAGCTAGACAGATTGCTTGGTGTGAGATCGTCCAAAATATATTTTTAACTTTAAATTTTGCCAATTAATTTACAGAATTTGACAAATCGTGCCAAACTTTTGTCAAATTTGGTTGACAAGAATCCTCTTACGAAGCAAAAATTATATGTAAAGTTTTGTCACAATGGCTGGAGAAAAAACCACCCTAGGGATCCAAAAGTACGAATATCTTTGTGTGAGGCCTCCCAAAACATATTTTTACCTATAAAATAGTCAAATTTGGTTTTTAAAAAAATCCACGATACAAAAATTACAGGTTAAGCCTCACCACAATAGCAAGGCAGAAATACACCCCAGTGACATAAAAATATAGATATCTTGATTTCATGCCCTCCAAAACATATTTTTTACGTTTAAATCTTGCCAATTATTGAACAAAATTCGACAAAATTTTAGTCAAATTATGTTTAGGAAAATCCATTTACGAAGCGAAAAATAAAAGGTTCAGAAATTCACTCCATGGATCTGAGGCCTTCGAAAATATGTTTTGATTTTTTTTCCAATTATTGAGCAAAATTCGATAAAATGTTATTCAATTCGAGTTTAGAAAAATTCAGAAAAAGTAAAAGTTTAAGTTTTGCCCAAAGCCAAACAGAAATCCACCCCAGGCCAGGGACCCGTAAATATACAAATCTTGACGTGAGACCCTCAAAAATATATTTTAAACTTTGTGAGAAGCCCTCCAAATTTCCCCCTGTTTACCTACAAAATAGTCAAAATGGGTTTCGGAAAATCCGTCTACGAAGCAAAAAGTAGAACGTTCAGAAATCCAATCCATAGACCAACGAGTAATAGATATCTTCATCTGAAGCCCTCGAAAATATATTTTGATTTTTAAATCATGCGAATTATTGAGCAAAATTCAACGAAATGTTAGTCAAATTGGGTTTAGAACAATCTGTCTACGAAGCGAAAAGTAAAGGTTAAATTTTGTCTCAAAGCTTCACAAAAATCCATCCCAGGAACTCAATAGTATAGATATCTAAATGTGAGGCTCTTACAAACCTATTTATAACTTCAAAACTTTCCAATTATTCAACAAAATCGATAAAAATTGAGTCAACCTTGGTTGAGAAAAATCCGCATACGAAGCAAAAATGATTGTTACTTAGTAAAGCACCATATAAAAATTATATTATTTAATGCCAATAGCATAATCGAATAACTGTTGAAATCAATCAAGTTGAGTGGAACAGAAGCAAAAATGATTGTTACTTAGTAAAGCACCATATAAAAATTATATTATTTAATGCCAATAGCATAATCGAATAACTGTTGAAATCAATCAAGTTAAGTGGAACAATTAAATCAATCAAATAAAATTAATGATTTTAATCTGTATTCAAATTGCGTATATGGTTAAATCGAGGTCATTTTCTGATTTATATATCATTTGTGATTTTTATGTTATGATTTATACTTTATGTACAATTTAAACCCGAGTGTATTCTTATTTTAAATTATAAATAACAAGCATAAATGCGATATAAAATTAAGTTAATATAAGCCTTTAACAACAAGTAGGTCAATCTATTCTATAGTTAAATTGACTAGTTTCGTGGTCCGCCTGACCAATTAATATCTTACAATTAATTAAGGTTTTCAGTTGAGATAAAAAAGTCAATGGCACGAGCGGGATTCGAACCCACGATCTTCGGCTTGATACGCCGCTGCTCTGCCACTTGAGCTATCGTGACCTCGATCCACTCGGACACCAACCTCCCATCTCAACCACTATTCTATAGTATTCTATGTTTTTTCTATTCTATTTCTTAACATATTATATAATATAATTTTAAAATCTTTTCTACCTCATTGGAAAGGACTTAAATTTTAAACTGACAACCATCTCGTTAAGATTAAATTCCATTAATTAAAATATAATTGGGCGAATCCTAATCCCACTGTCATCAGCCCTTAATAAAATATATCTACAGGCGTGTTGTCATTAAAGTTCAAAACATTTCAACCGCAACACTTAAGACATGAGAAGGCATTCAACTCCTCATAACTCAATAAAATTTTTTTTTAACGAATTCGAGAAAAAGTACTCAGATTAAGAATTCTATTTTATCTCTTATCTCTACACCCTGGTTATCTTGCATTTATCCAATTTCTTATCGTTTATTCTTAATTACACTTCACGTATCTTTCTCAGGGAGACCGAAAATCTCAAACCTCTTGACGTGCTGTCAGTGCACCACATTTATTACACTTTCAATCGGGCAGGATAGAAGCAATGTCAGCAATTAAAAAACCTTTTCTATAGATCCTTATAATTTTAATCGAAGCTTCTTTTTACACCAAGGTGTAATTAATAATTAACTAAAGATAGGAAATTTAAGGAAGTAACGATTTACCTGGGGTGCACAACAGTAAACTCTTTCAATGTACAATAATTTATGAATACAAATAAACCACCTTTCTTAACTGGCGATACAGTTAGCAGAACAGGTGCGGTAATTAAAAACAAAATTACAACCGTAACGCGAGCGCAATATTGTTTCTAAAATCAACAACCGTTATACACTGAAAAAACTCTACTAATTTATTCCAGCGAATATAATAAATTACTATTTCGACGGTTATATATAGATTAATGGAAGTTTCAAACGGTAAAAAAAATTACTGGGTGCACAGAAATACCAGGTCAAAGGGCTATTGAAACGTCATTCCGATAAATCCTGGAATTGACCAGGCTAAATTACAAATCATCCGAATTGTAGACAGAAACCAGGCCTGCCAGCTTGGAGAAATATGTATTAATTGCGCCGACTGGACACCAAAACGGTCAATATAACCGTTCAAAACCGAAAATAAAAAAGGATTCGTTGTAATAAAATAAGGAACAGAAGTACACAGAATAAAGCCACAGAATCACTTTTCAAAAACCTCGAGGGTTCAACTACGTGAAAAAAATTTCATAATAGGCAATCATTGTTGTAAATCGTAAAAACGATCTCTTGTTTTATCTATTTCATAACATATGTTTAATTTCCTTCCTAGTTTACTCTGGTGTGGCTTAGCTAAAATATATTTGAAGGAATGTTGGAATTATTTGTTAGGAGAATGTGAGATTTAAAATTCTGTCAACACTCTTTACAGCAAACTCTTTTTAATCAATTAATTCGCTTAATTGGCATGAAATAATAATTTAAAACCGCTTAGAAAGTTTTATGTAAATAAAAATTTAATACATGTTTTATTGTATTACTCACTATTTAGGCAATTAAAAACTTAATTATGTCAATTTGTAATCTCTTTCTTTGCCCTGATGACCTTAAAAATAGGTCGAAACCTTGACAGATAACAATTAAATTTTATTTTTTTCATCCAGACCATACCGATACAGATTATTCGTGATTGATGCAATTAAACTGTTGAAAAAATGTATTTATCATTTTATTAGTTTGACCTCATCTGGGTCTTTCTACAACCATTTTGAATCGATCGTTGATCTTTTAACTGACCGTATATTTCGTCTAACCGCTTAACTTTTCATACATGCGTACAAACACACGTACGCTTGTGAGTACGTGATTGCACGTGGGGTGTACTTATGCGTGATGTAATTTTTGAAAGTAGGGCTTCATTTTATTTTCCTTATTCTTATCCTTCTTCTTGATTTTATTTTCCTTATTCTTATCCTTCTTCATTACGGTATAGGTTCTTTTTGTTTATTAAGCCAATTGAAAATTTCATACCTGACTTAGTAATTGTTGGAATGTTATTAAGTTTATTTGTAATTGACCATCCACAGATGTATCTGACTGGTAACTGTATTTGTACTTATGCGTGTTTGGCTGCGTTTCATACGAGCGCTCTCGCGGTTGAGTGTGTTAGATAGTTACATTATTCGTTAGTGTGTTTATGCATGCGAAACTGTGTGTATTTGTTTATTTGTGTGTATTTGATTATTTGTGTGTATTGTGTGTATGTAAATGTGTGGTGTGCTTCGTGAGATGGATGGATAGAGTATATATAGAGAGATAGAGAGAGAGAAAGAAATAGAGAAAGAGAAAAAGAGAGAGAAAGAGAAAGGGAGTTGATTGATTGATTATCGCTTTATTTAATAATCACTCAAGGAGAGAGAGAGAGAGAGAGAGAGAGAGAGAGAGAGAGAGAGAGAGAGAGAGAGAGAGAGAGAGAGAGATAGAGAAAGAGAGAGAGAGAAAGGGAGTTGATTGATTGATTATCGCTTTATTTAATAATCACTCAAAGAGAGAGAGAAAGAAAGAAAGAGAGAGACAGAGAGAGAGAGAGAGGAAGAGNGTATATATAGAGAGATAGAGAGAGAGAAAGAAATAGAGAAAGAGAAAAAGAGAGAGAAAGAGAAAGGGAGTTGATTGATTGATTATCGCTTTATTGAGAGAGAGAGAGAGAAGAGAGAGAGAGAGAGAGAGAGAGAGAGAGAGAGAGAGAGAGAGAGAGAGAGAAATAGAGAAAGAAATAGAGAAAGAGAGAAAGAGAAAGGGAGTTGATTGATTGATTATCGCTTTATTTAATAATCACTCAAAGAGAGAGAGAAAGAAAGAAAGAGAGAGACAGAGAGAGAGAGAGAGAGAGAGAGAGAGAGAGAGAGAGAAAGAGAAATAGAGAAAGAGAAAGAGAAAAAGAGAGAGAAAGAGAAAGGGAGTTGATTGATTATCGCTTTATTTAATAATCACTCAAGGGGAGAGAGAGAAAGGGAAATAGAGAAAGAGAGAGAGAGAAAGAGAGAGAGAGAAAGAGAGAGAGAGAGAGAGAGAGAGAAAGAGAGAGAGAGAGAAAGAGAGAGAGAGAAAGAGAGAGAGAGAAAGAGAGAGAGAGAGAAAGAGGGAGAGAAAGAGAGAGGGAGAGAAAGAGAGAGAAATAGCGTTTTTATTAATATATTCATAAATATATAAATGAAAATCAAATTATAATAATATAAATAAAATAGTTACGTTTATATATTTATATAATATTTGTGGTATGTGTATGTATTCTATGGCATTTTTGGAAATTTTACTTGGTTTAATTGGTTACTCTCCTTCCACTGAACTTTATAAATATTTAACTATCTATGCACATACTCTTAAATATGCGTATATACCCAACATATAGTATGTATTAGATAGTATTGTATAAATGGTACAATTTTTTGAAAAATTACTTTTAAGAAACATGAAGAATTCGATATTTTTCCCCGCCATGTTTCTTCCAATAAAATATGTGAGCGATAATCGTATAAACTAATCAAATACTAAATAATTTGAAACATTCCAGCCAAATATAGCCATGGACGTTAGTGCAATCGATAATTTGATTATCTTTCGTATTTGTAGCTATATAAATAAGCCGTGCTTTCAGCTTAATATTTAATGCCATAATTAATTAATAACTACTTACCATTGGCTCTTTGGAATTCGACAGCGGCTCTTTGGCACTCGACCCTCGCCTTTCTCGCGATCTCCACCGACTCGTAGTACGGCCTCGCTCTTTCGATGCAACTGCCGAGCTTGCAGGTCATGACTTTCAACCTCCTCGTCGAGTCGTTCAGGAGGATGTTGAAGGTGGTGTTCGCCTCCTGCAACGGAAGAATAAAAGGTGTTCAAGGACCGGCGATAACAATGGGAAAAAAACCACAACGCATGAGCGACTCCGGAGCAGAGCGTGACCGCATCCTGAATCGGCCTTCCGTCTGAACCCCAAGTTGTACTTTGACTCTTTAACGGACAACAGATGAGAACAATAAGATACGGCCTAGTACACTCCAAAAATTCCTATTTGAGATTTTTTTATTCCGCAACACACACGGCCTTCCCGCTTCCCTAGATCAATGCGACGAAATCCTATTTCTTTTATTTGAATATTTAGAAGCGCACGAGTTTTCAAAAACGAACGGCTGTCCTCCTTTCGACTTCCTGTCCTGTTGCAGGCATTATCGATGCTGCACGAATGTCAGAGCTTGTGTCCTGGATTCACGCTTTGTTCCCTTTCACAGTTACCAGGAAGTTAAAAAAAGGCTCAATCTTGTAACAAAAATAAATAATCATTTGTTTTAATGAAAATATGCAATAAATATACTATTAATACTATAAGATTAAAAAACTTGTTACGTTTGAGGTTTAAAAACAGTTGAATCGTAGAAATGTTCTTGTGCAACGGTTTTAGTATCAACACATAATAGGCATAAAAGATTGTTCAAAATGGCATAACTGAAAACATATTTAGCTTCTACAATGCCCGGTGTAGGTCGGCCTATTCTATGAATATGCAAACTACAGTTAAAATCCGTTAGACCGTTACAAGCAGACAACAAACAAGACGCACTTCACTTATTACCTATGTATATAAAACAGTTCCGTGACTGACGGACAAGGCACTGACCAAACCGTTGAATCTAAAGGGCTGAAATTTCGACAGTGCATTCCTATAATAACATGGATAACCGCTAAGAAAGGATTTTTTGAAATTCCATCCCTAAGGGGATCACATGGACAATTTTTTACCATAGATCGAAGTGAACTGAAGAAGAGAAGAATTTGAGAATCGAGACAATATATTAGAAAGCCATACTAAGCCCTTTGCATATCGCATTACAACAAAACAAAAGTCCCGCGTGGACGATGTCGCGGGTAAAAGCTAGTATGTATTTATATAAAGAAGAGAAAGGATTCGTGATTTTGTCATTTTAATTTATTTTTTGACTACTGTTCGTTATAGAAAAAAGCAAGGGCGACAGCCCTAGAACCAAGGATCATTTCCGCCCTGAACCTTGGCCACGGAGTCCCTATCCATGAGTTCATCGTCCAAAGCGGCTGCAGAAGCCTATTCCTATTGCAATACTCCCAGGAACTTTGGAATGAAGTTGGAAAATATAGAAACCAGTCAACAACTGTCTTTCCGAGCCTGGGATAGTAGGGAACCTAACTCGGGAATCGGCCTCTTTCAGACGAGGCGGTTTGATTGATTCAACTAAGTTGCTCGTTTGACTCTCAACTAGTTTACTGCCGTGTGAAGACTCTTTCTTTGCTGGGGTCGCCATAAGGCAACTTGAGGAATCAACCTTTCTTACCAACGGGAGGTCAGTTGTTAGAACCCAAGGAAGCAGAAGCACTTGTGCTTGCTCTTCTGCAAAAAGGAAGAAACCCAAAAAGAAAAGTGTGGGTTTATCCGTTGTTATAAACCTCCTAAATCTTGACTTGTTAACTTCATTATCGTAGTTGATGCTCTAGTTAGCGTTAGTGGAGTGATTCGTAGCTTGTTAATTAAATTGTCTGCTGTTACAAATTGGAACAATTTTGCCATACTTTCTCCATTATCTCCTAATAGTTCGTATAGTATACTAAGGCCACTATATGATCGACACGTCAGCAAAATATATTTAGTTGTATGTCATGGTACAACCTGTTCATCGGTAGTGAGTCGCGGCGCCATTAAATGACCTTTGGTGATCCTATAATGCCTAATTCTCAATCTATTCAAGACAACGTCCTTCCTTCGTCTCAATCTAAACGGCGAGGGCCATTTGAAGTAGTTTTAATTTACTGAGCTTGAACCGCACAGACTGACTACCTATCTTTATGCCCTTGTGAATTTTTTTCCATAAAGGTTATCTTTATTAGTTATCGAAATTATTTTTTACATAAAGGTTATCTTATCAGTCATCACCAAGTCATCTCTGCTTACTTCTACAATTCTAGCTGCTTCTCAAGTAACCAAGGAATCCGTTAAAAAGTACTTGCTTTCTCTGTTGCTGAAGACAGTCAAGACTTTAATTTGAAGTCTCGGTGGATAAAATACAAGTTTGCAAAAGGAAACTACTTTATAAATTGTAACATAGTTTAGATAAAAATTGTAATGAGTAAATAAAATTTCAACGATTAATAACGCAATATTTATACACCGGAGAAGTCTTATTTTTTAAGAAGAAAAATTTGGTTATAGAAATGATGAATGGTGGAGTGAGTGCGGTGTTCAATCCTTTTTAAAAAGATAGTTTCTACTCACAGTAAGTTGTTTTGCAACGAACCGGATTTCGAGCTTTTAGCTCATCATCAGGTTGAAGAGTTCTACAACCTGATGATGAGCTAAAAGCTCGAAATACGGATCGTTGCAAAACAACTTACTGTGAGTAGGAACTTTTTTTTTTATTAATGACTCCGAAGACGGATCCACTGCTAGAATGACCGTGTCGTGAGAAGATATATTTTGTAAGAAGAACATTTCAAGAAGAACAATTGTTTAAAAGAATTTTTAATAAAAAAATGAGATTTAATTGTATGACTCTTTATTGTAATCGAAACTTTTGTTTTATACTCAAACTTTAGGTAAAGCCACCTTGTGTTAAATAAATTATTTGGTATTTAAAAACGTCGTAGGAAGATGGCTAATTAGTTGCATAAAGATCATTACGTTAAAAGACAGCTTAACAAAAATCATGGACAACTAGAGAGACTTCTAGGTCCGAAATCCGTTTCGATCGTCAACACTTAACTCACCTCGTGTCTATTACCTCTCCTTATACAAGACTTTAACTTCGACCAATTAGAACATGTCAAGCCATCCAACATCCAACGCATCCAATTCTTCCAATCGAAAGTCCTCAGACAAATCGTCAACGTTCCTTACTACTTTTTGTCTAAAGTATTGTTTGATATGAAAAAGTTAGTGTGACGAGCGGGATTCGAACCCACACCTTCTTCTTCCTTTCTACGTCACTAACATCATCCACAATAACCTTACCATTCTTTTTGTCAGCAAACTGATCCGTTCCCGATTACAAAAGTTTCACACCATCCTCTCGATCCATCCTAATCCGACTGCCCAGACTACAAATTCCCATCCTCATGCCGTGTCGCCTTAATCGACGATGGTCTCTTAACCTCCTTGTCCCCAACCCCCAATGAATGCCAGCATTGGCTGTCTTCCAATGGCATGTGTCCTCCGGGTGCAGCGCTGGCTTTAGTGTTATTGCTCTGACAGTGTGAAAAAAAATACTGTGATCACATTTTGTAATATGTTCTAGTATGGATAAGCTACAAATAAATTAAAAACAAAAGATTATCACTCATCGAACTGGATTTCTGAATAAGAACCATTGAGGTTTGCCTTGCGGAACGGAAAAGTTCTACTTCTATTAGGGTACCTATAAATAATTTATTATTCCTACTGTGTTACATGGCACATATATTTTAAGTAAAACAAAAGTGTTCCATTTCTTTAAACTGAGATTTTCTTTGCGGATTTTTCGTTTTGTAATTGATTAAAAATAATTAAAAAGAGCTTTTTGTTTACATTTTCAACTCGATACAAGAAGGCAAAAGTTGATAAAAGACATTCCGACCATACCTAATTGGCACTTATAAATAACTTTCGGTTTTGTTTATTTATTTTAATTGCGCATTCGCAGGAGTTCCGCCATCATTTGTAAAAAGAAAGGTGGAATAGCCTACATGGGAGTTGATGCATGGATGAAACAGCGCTGGCTCAAGACGGCGTCTTCTTTCGACCTTTTGTCGGGTCAAATGATCCGTTCGGCCGAAAAAAGTCAATCCGTTCCACTTCGGCGGATTGAAGAAAAGCCGGTCGAAAGCCTTTTGCGATCCTGGTTTAAAAGGTCACCGAGGGAGGGAAGATTTCGACTTGGTTGGGCCTTGAAGACAGGCGAGGGATCCGAGTTTTCCATCGCCCAAGAAGTTACGCTTTCAGGTTGAAATAAATCAAAGTACTGTCGACACTAAATGCGTGGTCTACCAGGTCACTTTCCAGATTAGAAAATGGAGTCGATCGGGTCAAAACAATTTCCTTCTGTTTTCTAATTCTCTAGTTTAATTTCACTCCGGGCAAAACTGCGTTCTGACTAGATAAAATATCAAACCTTTTCTTTTTATTTAATCATTTCAAACATACAATGTTTTGTATCCTGTAAAACCATGTTATTAATGTGAACGCAAACAAAGCTAACTACGAGCAAAATAAAATGAAATAGGTAAGAGAATAAATATAAATTCCTTAATCTTCGTTGTTTTTGACGCGCCGTAGGTAGAAATGTTTGGAAATGGCCAAACTACAGGTTCATCACCCAGCAGAACATAAGAGGAAATGTCACAATTTAACGGTTCATTAGTAATGATGTTATTGACCGATTCACAGTGCATTGGCTGTTTTCAGAATGACTGAATTTTAAACTTCTATAAATTTCTCAATACTAAATGAAGTTCAGCATTGTGCATTAGGTTAACACTAATTGGATTACTTTATTTTGTGAAAGACCTGCAGTTTTCCTTTCTTAATATGATTACTGCAGTTCTCTGGACTGTATAACACAAAAACAATAGTTGTCAGGATTGTTTTACAAAAAAGAAGGTACATCAAGGGCTCAGGAAAGGCGTGTACCCGATGAGCTTTCTGATTCTACTTCATCTCTTGAAGGATAGTTGATTAGGTATGGGTCTACAAATCATTTCACTGGTTATTTGCACGTTTTTGGTTCTTAACAACCTCTAAGACCAGAAGATACTTCAAGTACGAACTGCGAAGGAGAAGAGGTAACTGCAGAGCACGTTGTATTACTGTGAAGATCTGAGCAGTTTTCCACTCACGGATAAAGAAAAGCTCAATGCAGTAAGTGTAACTAGCCAATACCAAGCCTGAAGCTAGATAGTGAGCTATAACCTACTGAGCCTATAATAATCCTACTGATGGACGCAATGCACAAAATTCTTTAGCCACCTCAACAACATCAAGATTGAACACCCCCAAATCTCCCAAAACCACCCCAAAATTGAACAACCCAAGAGGCAGTAGCAGCTCTTGAAGCAGTTCAGCTGTACTAAGGAGCCATTATTGAAGTTATGGAGGGAAATAAAAACAAGACGCTAGGTAGTTAGGTCACACATGTATGGTGGGGAAGAATAATCTTGATGGACGCAATGTACAAAATTCTTTAGCCACCGCAACAGATTTACATCTAAATTAAACATCGCTGAAACTCTAACCTGTTGCAGTCTTCACTTGAAATGTGCAGTTAATCTGTACTCTGGAGACACTATGAAGTCCATGTAAGCTTATGAAAACCCCGAAGCTAGCTAGTAAGCTACACATATGTGGAGGGGCATTTTAGTCCTGATTGACGCAGTGCAAAAGACTCTTCAGTCGCCTTGATAACAAAGCACACAATACTGCCTATAACCTGGTAACGTTCTGTTGATTTTTTTGCCAAGCACGAACAGAGTTCTAGGTTGGATATTCCAGCACTTGTTTGGCCACGTCTCCTATTTGTCATCTAGCTTTCTTATGTTCGAAAAATTGAATTTTTGATTTAAAAGGGTTTGCTACCCGTTTTGTTTATCAGGATCGACGAAATAATATTTATTTGGTCATAAAGACATCACTGTTTTAAGAGATCTAATGGAAAACAGTATGCCCTACTAGTATACCAAATAGTCTATTACCGAAGACTGATTATATTATTTCCATTAATATTTATAAAACAATAAATTATTGATGCCTACTAAAGAAAATCACTACCCTTCCACTGAGTGTTCTTCAGCAGTGTACGTTTCCTAAAAGCCATAAAAACCATAAAACTAAATAAAATTTGTAATTCCTAGCAGTACTGATAGATTTATTTTTAAGATTAATTTTTGCTTTCCGACATCGGACCATCACGTATAAAGAAATGTACTGTGATGCAATGTTTTGCATAAAAATACGGCCCAAATGCTGATAATTTGGTAATTTGTCTCCTTGAGTTTCCAGATATTCACTCATAATACTTCAAATTAATTGTAGGTATTTATAAATATTGAAGTAGTGGTTCAAGAAGGTATTTTATAAGCCAATTGCCTCAGTGCTAAAAATTAATCACCGTTAGCCAGAAATATTGCTTTTAAGGTCGATCGAACAACAGCGGGTACGTGCGGACCCCGAGATGATTTCTGTTGAACTGTTAAATCCACCAAAAATACCTCTTGCCGTTTCTAAATATCGATTCTGAGATCCAATTCAGTCCAAGCGCGAAGGACGAGGCGACATGGAATGATCATTAGGCATGTCTGAAGTACATTTTAAGGTCAGTATGAGTTTCAGTTGGCCTCTTTACTGTTGAGAAGCAGTGGCCGAAAAAGTCACTCACGTCCACATCCTGAGAACGTTCTGCGTTTAAGGCGGATATACATCAATCAATAGGCCTATAATTTGAATAACAGCCGTTTTGAGATCGTTGACGTTTAAAAGGATGGATGCCACGTCGGCTAGCGGTTTAAAAGCTTGTTAAATTATACGGCCGAGGGCATGTGGAATCTTGACTTCAATATATTCCTAAGCGGTCCGTTATTAATTCATTGTCCGAACCACAGGGGTCACAAAACTCACGATCGAATGGAAAATACAAGAGCCCGTTGAGAACCGAGACAGAATTTCCATACAAATCAAAAATTCGATCTATTCTATTTAAATGAGCTGAATAAATTCAAACGTTCGTGTCATGCAATTGCATTTTTAAATCTAGGGCTAGGTTAAAAAAAAAACCATGAAGAATTTGATTGTGTTGCGTGTGTTGCGCGCGCGCGGGGACGTGTGTTTTGTGTGTGTCAACAAAGAATAGAAAATGGTAAAAATATTTAACATTCTCGGAAGAGGACAATGACGTGATTGTGATAAATCCATGGTTAATCTGTTTGCTAGTCTTAATCTAGCTAAGTTAAACAGACGGAAACAAAGCAAAAGGCGTATCACAGCCTGAAATAATTTCAGAATTGACAACCTAAGGAACAAAGGGGATTGAAAGAGCTTTAGGACGGGTGTAACCGTTTCTGTCAACGCAGATCTACATTTTGTTTGCAAAATGTAATCCATCTGATTTTTCTTCTTTACTTAACCAAAAGCAGAACAAAACACCCAAAATAAAAAAAAAAGGCCTGAATACAAATTACACTTTTGTTTACCAACGTAACAACAGTGGTATTATCACCTGTTAAAAAAAAAAATTAAATAAATTATATATACTCACATCTAGCTCGATTTCCAATTTGTTGATTTGATCCGTGCAATTATTCAGTTGTTCCAATTCTATCTGAAAACAAAAAATACTTAATTAACACTAAGTCAAAATGAACACAGGCAAAGGGGCATGGATAAAATGCGATTAATTAGGCCAAAGAAAGTGAGTCATGCAGAATAAGCGACACTGCAAGCTCCTGGTCACTTTTTAAAACGAAAACAAAAGCGTGATAGTATATCAAGCCATAAACAAGAAATCGCTGAGCATGGCTTAAAAATAATGAAATGGACCTTAACTTTAGGGGGAAAAATAGGTGTACGCCCGTCCACTGGATGATAGATGACACAGCATAAAATATGCTTTATGGTAAAAGTACATTATCAAAACTTCACTAAGTTAACATAACATTAATAAATATGAATAAAAACACAAAGCCTAAGTGTAATAACTAAAGTACTTTATTAAAAAAATTACACTTTTTCAATCAAAATACTTTCTAACGAGGAATTATATTTTATGAGAAAGCAAAGGCGTATTTAATGAAAATAATGCGTCTAGTTTCAGATATATTAATTTTTAACCTCCATCTGGTGCAGAAACTCTTTATTGTTTCCATGTTAATATTTTTGGCCATCGCACTAAACCTCCAGATTAAAAAAAAAGTTTTAAAAAATCCTCCAGTGCTTAGTCAGGGTACAATGCCAGAATTATGTTCGAGCAGCACATTTAGAAGGAAAAAAGCAATGTAAGGCCCAAAATCGAGCCTTGAGGGAGGCCCGCTTTTATCTTGAAAGGTGAAGAAAAAGAACCAGTCGACAATTTCAGAATGATAAAAATTATTTTAGTATGTCTAATATCGAATTTATACCGTTAAAAACGTCCTTACAATCAGATTCAAGAAATGAATCAATATATTAGAAAAAATTTTCATTAGCTCATAAATTCTAAGAGTTCTTGAATTGACCCGTTTAAACTGTCTGTATACTGAATAACTAAATTATCGATTATGTTTACGAGAATTTCTGCCGTTCAATTATTTCGTATGTTGCGAATAACAGATCATATTTCTTATTAATTTTGAAAGGGCCCGAAAATTTATTAGTTTCACTATTTGGATAGCTAAACAAAAATAAATATTTAAAGATTAATTAGTATAGAAATTAAAACGTGGATATTGGAAACTGTACTCACAGCCAAATATTCACCAATAATTAAATTGTGAGCTAGAAATTTTTGCTAATCAAGTTCATAAAAGTTCAATCGAGTATATTTCTTATAAAGCCTAAAAGAATTCAAGAATGTGTAAACCGTCTAGATAGATAAGCAAAATGAATGTGCATTCTGACTTTGGACATTGTCATCATGGAATATTGCAATATTCGATATTTAANAAGCCTAAAAGAATTCAAGAATGTGTAAACCGTCTAGATAGATAAGCAAAATGAATGTGCATTCTGACTTTGGACATTGTCATCATGGAATATTGCAATATTCGATATTTAATTGTAAATCCTGCTTTTCGTTAAGAGATGTCTTTTTTTAGATATTGTAGATTTATCATCCATAATAGAATTTCTGTCGTCCAAAACGTCCTTACAATCAGATATTGATCAGGAAATAAATCTTAGGTCAGAAATAATGTTCACTGTTTCACATTTCCCATAAATTCTAAAACAGATCTGGAATTTACCAGTTTAAAATGTCTAGATACCGGATAGCTAAGTTGTAAGTTATGATTATGAGAATCTGATAATCCCTAAGTTGACAATAACATCTGTTAGATCATATTTCTCATTCATTTCAAAAAGGTTCAGAGAATTATTGGTTGGGTTGTTTGCTTAGCTAAACCAAATGCGTAAATCCTAAAGAATTTAGGATTTTTTAAGTTACAAACTGCCCAAATAGCCGAATAAAATTAGTTTCCAGCCAATATTTCAGTTGCAGAATGACAACTATTATTTTATAACGTCTAATATCGAAGTTCTATCGTTGAAATGCTAATACAAACAGATGGTCAATGGAAAAATCTCACAAGATAGACTATAGTTACATTTTACATTTAATCAGTTTATATTCATTATAATCCATAGAAGAATTCAAGATTGTATAACAATAAACAGGCTAAAAACTATTATAGAATGTTCAACATCGTAAATCATTAAAAATAATAGGGAAATATTTGTATTGTAGAATGACTTTGACATATGTCTAATATCGAATTTCTGACTAAGAAGAAAACGTCCTTACAATCAGATAAAAGAATTAGTATTACGATAAAGATTATTTTAGAATGCTAATATCGCATTTCTGACTAAGAAGAAAACGTCCTTAAAATCAGATAAAAACTAGTATTACGATAAAGATTATTTTAGAATGTTAATATCGAATTTCTGACTAAGAAGAAAACGTCCTTAAAATCAGATTAAAAAAATAGTATTACGATAAAAATTATTTTAGAATGTTAATATCGAATTTCTGATTAAGAAGAAAACGTCCTTAAAATCAGATAAAAAACTAGTATTACGATTAAGATTATTTTAGGATGTTAATATCGAATTCTGACTAAGAAGAAAACGTCCTTAAAATCAGATTTAAAAAAAATAGTATTACGATAAAGATTATTTCAGAATGTCTAAATATCGAATTTCTGACTATGAAGAAAACGTCCTTACAATCAGATAAGAGAATTAGTATTACGACAAAAATTATTTTAGAATGTTAATATCGAATTTCTGTCGTTGAAACTGTCCTTACGAAGAGATAATTTAATATTACATTGCAAATAATTTAATTTGTTTATATTTATTATCAATTTTAAAATAATTCAAGATTGTTTAATAAACATCCGGATAGCTAAATTAATGATGATTATTTTAAAATGTCTAACATCTTATTTTCTGTCGTTGAAACCGTCCTTATAAAAATCATTATCAATTTTTTACAAATATCAGCAAGAAATACCATGAATTATAAAAGACCGCTTATCTTTGACTCATTTGATCATAAAATATCTGTCACAGGATAGAAATAGACCAAACCACATAATCAATATACATTTACTTTTATGTTGCTGATCATTAATTATTTTTAAAAAACGTCGCTAAGTTAATTTAACGCTAATAAGTAATAAATATGAATGATTACAGAAAGTAAGAGAAAATATTGAAACTGGCGGACTTTGATCTTTAGAATACACGGTTGTAATTCAGTTAAAACGCTGAACTAAATTTCTTTGATAGTTGCAAATTTGTTCCAGAGATTTGATCCAGACGATTATTAGAATACATACAAGTCGTTCCGTCGTTAAGAAGAGAACATTTAAAAAAAATTAATTAACCGCTTTACAAAATGGAATGTAATAAATTTCCGTGTCTTATGCAGAAGGAACCCGTTTTACAGCTAAAAATCCGACGATTTCAACTCCTTTAATAAAGATTCTCATTGTAATTCTAGGGAACGTTTCTGAGGTAATACTTTTTCATAACAGAATCGTGTTATAAAAGCGCACAAGTCTTAGAAGGATGTCGACCTCCGAAGGGAAAAAGGAAACGAGACATCAATCCGATTTGATTTGATTCGGCCACTGCATTCAAAGCAGGAAGGTGCAGTTTAAACTATTCCATTCCATTATATTCTGTATCTATGTCGACTCGTGACAATTTGCAGAACCAGACGACTTTTTTACGTTTCTTAAATTAACCCTGTGTCCAATTAGATTATTAACTTCTTTTTCCAATCCCTCACTCCAATTGTTGCAGTAAACTGATAAACTGGCTGCCCCCCAAGACTTTCTACACGGCCAACTTTCTCCGAGGCAGTCCATTTCACTTATAAACCGGGCGACTCAATTTTAAAGATCCTTCTTTTTTAGCGTGCAGTAGTAAAGTAAAAAAGATGATAATGCTGTCTTAAAAAAGCTAATTATCTAGGATAACATCTCTCAAATCCCTTTGTATAAACGAATTAAAACTTTACTTTAAATTTAATTTAAAACTTTAATTTAAAATTTTTAATTTTTAACCACCCGTACCAAAATTGTATGTTCTTTTCGTATTTCTTTGTTCGAAAGAATATTCTCTTTTATACACGATTTAATAAATTCTTTCGATGGCATAGTACTGTAACATCCATACCAGGGCTTCCCTAACATTTTAACCATCGGACCCCTGCGACAAGGGCCCTTCCCCTCGCATTCAACTATTTAAAATTAGATACTTATAGTGCATGCAGTAAATTAAAGTTTTATAAAATAGCATTAGCCAGTCCATTCCTAATTAGGTGATGGAGAGGGATATCACTTTGAAAATAAACATTAGATTGACATACTTAACTTTATATACAAAATCCGGAACACACAAATCAAATTGGACAGAACAGAATCAATATTGTATAAAAAGTAATACTAGAGACAATTTCAAACGTAATAATTTGAACGTTAATGATTAATGAATTAATTGGAAGAGTGAGGTTGTTTTAGCCTGCCTTTGGATATGTTGGGTTTAATTTTTGATAGCTGGAGACGAATGTCCGGTTCAGCATCTGGGCAACTTCGGTATTTAGTTATTGTGGTGTCCAAGAGTCCAATGAATAGGTTTGGGTACCTGGGATATAAACAAAATGGGGAGAAAGCGAACTGGACACCTCAGTGCAGAGGTCGCTTATCGGAATCTGATGGTAAGCATTATTAAGGTCAAAAACTGAGGAAAAAAACTCGATTGCGGATTATCTGTCACGCAACCCTATAGATGATTCGGTAGGAGGACAAGGAAATAGAAGAAAATCTATATATTTTGAAGTCCATTCCCGAAATGTTTAAAAACTTTAAACTGAAACAAGAAAGGGACCCAGACCTAAGTGATATAATAAATAAAATAAAGCAGGGAGGGGCGAATGAAAAATATTTATTAAAGAAATCAATATTATATTACAAAATAGGAATAAATAAATATCGAGTGGTAGTACCAAAATCATTACGGGATATAATTTTTAAATATTACCATACATCACTAGCTGGAGGCTATTTTGGGATAAGTAGACAATAAACAAGATTCGAGACCTCTTTTATTTTCCTA